TCAATATCTCTGAATCCAAGCCCACCAGCATATTTCGGTAAACACATAGTTTCCCAAGAAACCCAGCACATCTTTTTCTTATCCGGACTTGCGTCCCACCAGAAGCGAGTAAGAAGGGATTGTATTTGTGAGCACAAAGAGACCGGGAGCTTAAAACACGACATTGCATAGCACGGCATCGCAGCAAGAACGGACTTTAGCATAATGTGTTTCCCTGCTCCTGATAGGTATCTCGCCGTCCAGCTATGTGCCTTCTGCCGTATTCTATCCAAGATGGACGCAAAAATATCTCTCTTGCGTCTTCCAAACTGTTCGGGCAACCCCAAGTACTTGCCTATACCTCCTTCCAAGGCTATGGACAAAGTATCCTTCACCCGAGCTCTAACAGTAGCTGGTGTTTTTGCCGAGAAGGTGATAGCTGATTTGTGTGGGTTGATCTTTTGTCCGGAAACCTCTTCGTATAACACGAGAATTTGTTTCAACGCTGAGACACAAGAATCCTTAGATTTACAAAAGAACATCGTGTCGTCGGCAAACAGTAGATGGTTGATCGGTGGGCTATGTCGTGAGACCTTTACCCCTGGGAGAGAACCATCGCGTTGTCCTTTTGTACATAGGGCGGACAGCACTTCCGTACACAGAATGAAGATGTGCGGAGACAATGGATCGCCTTGTCGCAGGCCGCGTGTTGGCTTCACTTCCCCTTGTGGTACCCCATTAATTAAAAAGGAGTAAGAAACCGACTCAATACAGGTCATGATCCAAGAGATCCATATCGGATCAAACCCGAGCTGGTGAAGTACTTCCCTCACGAACCCCCACTCGATCCTATCGTAGGCCTTACTCATATCCGTTTTCACGGCCATCGAACAATGCTTCTTGGCCTCCGAGGTTCGCAAGTAATGGAGAGTTTCGTGAGTGATGAGGACGTTATCTGTTATCGCTCTTCCGGCTACGAACGCGGATTGTGTGTTGGAGATGAGAAAGGGCAGTAGTGCCTTGAGCCGCCTAGTGAGAATCTTTGCGATGATCTTATAATGCGTGTTACACAAAGCAATGGGCCTATAATCCGCCACTGATCTCGGTCCCGTAATTTTGGGAATAAGCCTAATATGTGTCTCGTTTTGTCGCGGGTGTAGGTGGTTCGAAGTAAAAAAGTTGCGTACATCTGCAGAAACATCTTTCCCCACTATATGCCAATACGATTGATAAAACGTTGCAGAGAAACCGTCCGGTCCCGGAGCCTTTCCCCCATTTATGGATTTCACCGCCTCCCCAATTTCCGAATCACTCGGTATAGCTATTAGCAGCTCATTCATTTCAGGGGTGACCTTCTTGGTGAGCAAACCTCCGATCTGAGCAAAAGAAGAATTGCCATTTGTTGTAAAGATTTGACTGAAGTAGTTGGAGATCACTCCCGCAATCTGTTGTTCATCATACACTGCCCCGCCTTGTGCATCCTCGATGACCGGTATGGCGTTGATCGTCCTTCTGGTTCTAGTTGCCGCGTGAAAGAAACCTGTGTTCCTATCCCCTTTTTTAAGCCATTGTATCCTGCTCCTTTGCTGCCAGTATTGTTCTTCAGCCTCATAAGCTTGCCGGAGTTTAGAATTGATCGATTCAATGAGTAAAACATCAGGCTGGGAGCAGGATAGGGCATTCTCCAAAGCCTCTTGGTTCTGCTTGATAACCATGTTGCTCTGTTCCTGCTTCTCTTTCGCCCACTGAATAATCCCCCTCCTGCATCTATTCAGTTTTGAGATCACAGAATCCAATGGATCAAAATTCCAGGCAGTATCAATAATTCCTGTAATTTCTTCTTGTTCCGTTAGAGCTCTGTTGAACCGGAACATTCCTCTCCTTTTGGGTTTATCAGCGTTGAAATACGTCATCAGAGGTCGGTGATCCGAACCTTCGAACCGTAGATACCGACATCTGCCTAGTGGAAAAGATTCCGCCCACGCGCAATTACTCATCGATCGATCAAGTCTTGATCGTATGAAGTGTGTGTACCGACTACCACGCCATGAAAGTTGTTCACCTGAGTGCTTCAAGTCCCATAATCCGTTTTGAGCCACGAACGACCTGAAAGCAGTAAAAGAACCCTCTGCACGAGCTGGTCCTCCTATCTTCTCCACATTATTCAATATATCATTGAAATCTCCAGAAATTAACCAGGGATCATTATCTCTCCCTTGTCCTACTGAGCATAGCTTATCCCAAAAGGCTGCTCGGTTTTCCGCAGCGGGAGCTCCATAGACGAAAGAGACAAAAGAAGAGGTTCCTTGATATACAATTTTCGTATCAATAAGGTTGGGAGAGGATTCGAGAATTGTAATATCTGTATCATCATTCCATAGAAGAGAGAGACCACCACTCAAGCCAATAGGTGGTACCGAGAAATACTGTGAAAAACCCAGAGAGCCTAGTTTCTTATTGATAAACGCATCATCATTCTTTGTCTCCATAAGGTACATTACATTAGGAGCCATATGTTTATGGATCTCCTTTATTCGCCGGATTGTCTGGACTCTCCCCAGTCCTTGACAATTCCAGCTAAGAAGAGCTAAGGAAGATCCTTTTGATGGGGCCGAAAATCCACCCCACCTCTTGTGCTCCCTGGTATAAACACCGTAGATGGTCTGTCGCTCTTCTTGCGCTGCCTGCTCGAACCTGCCTTATTACAAGGTAATTCTTTGTCTTTTTCAACTATTAGCTTTCGTCTTGTAGTTGTAGCAGAGCGACCCACTGTCGTTGTCTTTTGAGAGAGCCTTAGTATTGGACTTCTTGCTACACGTTTAGTCACCCTCCTCTTGACTGCAACTTTGCTCTGGTTCGCCACTGGAATTTCTCCCCTTCTACTCTTAGCCTTTGAAGCACTATTGCCTATTCGTAGAGTAGCCGGAATTCGGTCAGTCTCAGCAATTTGATCCTCTCTCAGTTCTACCTCCATCTGTGAAGTCTCAATAACTCTACTATCAGCCTCCTGGAGTCGCCCTGAGTCAAAACTAGGTGGTCTTCTTGCAGACTTTTCCTTAGAATAGTCTGGTTCAGAGAGGCGTTCAAAAGCAGGTCGCCTTTCCTTAGATCCCGCGCTTGAGTCTGCCTTTGAGTTGGATTGAATTCCAAGCCGATCCTTAATAGTTCTGGTTGGCGTAGCTTCGGCTGGGGAATTATTGCAGACTGCCATCGTTGGAGAGGTCAGTTTTGTTCTGAGATCACCAACCTCGCCCTGAGATCGGGGAGCTGACGCCTGAGATCCAGTCCTATGATTTTCAACAACTCGATATTCAAAGGATGGTGCCTTGCTTCGGAAGTAATTTGAGTTTGATCGAGCAGTTCTTGAGAAGATGGAAGGCTCCCTTCCTTGGTCATCTCTTCGAGGATGGTATGACCTACTCTGGTTATTGTTCCTCTCTGAATAAACCACATTGTCATTAAATTGTCTAGATGAAGAGCGAAAATCCTCATTTCTCCGATATCCTCTACGCTCATCATGACGTCTTTTTTCTGCCTCTATCCTTTGAAGCGCAATAGTCTGCGTAATCCCAAGGGATCTTTCCTTTGGAGGAGTAGCATTAGCTGACCTGTGAGGACACAAAATCTCCTCGTGTAGCAAAGAAAAACATGTGAAGCAGTGTTTCTCTATTTTCATGTATTCAAACTCCACTTCCGTAATATCCTCCGTCGGGAGTTCAATCTCCATCTTCATGGTAAGAGGTTTGAGTCCATCAACTTCCACCCAGATCTTTGCGTCTTTTTCATCTTTGATGGAGCATTTGCCGAGTTCACTACCAATAGTGAGTATGGTGCCTTCATGCCAAAAGTGCAAAGGGATTCCATGGATCCTCACGTTGAAGGATATCTTGGATGGGAATTGTTCCGACACCACCGGTTCCCATCGTTGTAACAAGAGCATCCAGCGCTTGTAATGATATGGTCCTTTCTCCAAGACATTGAGGAGTTCATACTCGGACTGAAACTTAAACTGGAATTTATCCAATCCCAAAGCTCTTCCCTCTATTTTCCCTTCAAGATTCCAAACCTGACTCATGAAATCAATGACAGCTCTGATGGGTTTTTGAACTTGGGGGTTAGTTAAACGTCCGATGATAGTAAGTCTATTTGCTGCAATGAGATCATCGTTGTTGTTGGCCGGTATTCGCACCGGAGGTCGTCTCGTTGGTAGTTCAGGGGGGGCCTGCCATTTTTCCTTCTCAGATCTACTGTATCTTCTTGCCATTCTCAGAGTAAGGAAAGTTTCTGCTTTTATTACAAAAGAGTACGTAGCCTTTAACCGGGGTTGTTGCTTCTTGGATCTGTTTGACTCCTATTCTTCTCTAACAAAGCTGTGGAATAAATGCTTCTGGAGTGATAAATGCTTTGGAGTGAANGGGGGGCCTGCCATTTTTCCTTCTCAGATCTACTGTATCTTCTTGCCATTCTCAGAGTAAGGAAAGTTTCTGCTTTTATTACAAAAGAGTACGTAGCCTTTAACCGGGGTTGTTGCTTCTTGGATCTGTTTGACTCCTATTCTTCTCTAACAAAGCTGTGGAATAAATGCTTCTGGAGTGATAAATGCTTTGGAGTGAATTTGGTAGTAGTAATAAAGATAGGTTATCACAACCAATATAAATAAATCTTCTTCTACTGAGCGTTAGACATGAAACTCCAGACCCATAGTAGATCTGCGGTGGTCTTCTTCGGACGAGAGGGAGTTGAGCCGGGAAGAAATACAACAGAGGAACTGAGGCACAGGAGCAGAGCACCTGGCTGACCCGCCGATGACATCGGGGGCGGAACCCGGCGGAGGTCCGATCAGAAACCAGATGTTGCGCGGGGTTGCCTTCGGACCGATGGATACTTCTAAAGTAGTATGGCTTTTTGAAAAAGCAGAGAATAACAGGGGAGGAAAGACAGCGAAAAGGGAAATAACCGTTGGTTAAAGAAGAGAGTCAACTATCACCCGCAGTTAAAATCCTTTCTCGAAAGTCGTGTCTGGGAGAGAACTAGTTTCGCTCTCACTCCAGCATACCAATAAGAAACGTAGTTGAACATGTCTGTATTACAAAATTCACTCTTCACATGGCAATATTTTTATATACTAAATCACTTGGACACAAACACGCAGTCTGCATGCATCATGTCTTCGTGTGAAGTCGAAAGCCAATGATTACTTGATGGATCTCAACGTATACTCAAAGACTTAATTCGATTAGCTTGAACCGAACCAGTCTTTGTGGGGATACAGTGTACAAACTTAATTAGCAGAACACTATCTCTTGTCTTAAGCAAGTAAACTTACAAACAGAGTTTTACCAAAAAAAAAAAACTTACAAACAGAGAGAGAAGACTGAAGAAGAATGGGAAATGGTGTTTTTTTTTCTTCTTCTTTTTACATAATAATTGGAAGAAGAAGGGTTATTTATTTATCAATCTGGTTAAGCTTTCCTAGACCATTGCAGTTAGCGCAAACGATCTGAGCTTGATCCTTCCTTGCCGCGTTGGCCCTCAGAGTCGCTCCTCCCTTCCTCACAAATCCTGCTCCGTCACATTCCGGACACCTATATACAACACAACATCTTTCTGTTGGTTTATCAAATCGGTTTAAGGGGTTTATGTCCGTTTACAATCTACCCACGGCTATGTTTTCATTAGGCTAACCAAACACACACATAACAAGTACATAACAGAGGATTTATTTCAGTTTATTCAGAACCAGTATGGTTAAAGAACACACACAACTTTAATCTGGTCTAACGTGCATTAGAAGTGATACAGTACAAAAAAGAAGGAAAGAGTGAGTGGTTACGTGTCATTGCGTTTGAAGAGGATCGGAAAAGCTGTTCCAACGAGCGCAACGGCGGCGGCTCCGGCTATCAAATATACAGTTCCGTCAGAAGACACATCACCAACAGCGGCAACAATTACGGACGACGATCTCTTGTTTCTGGGAAGAGTCACATTGCTCCTCCGTGATGATCCCCACGAAGAAGAAGGTATCGATTGTGTCAGAAAGTTCGTCGATGACACGAACGTCGTCTGCATTGCCGGTGCGATCGCCATGATTTCGATTAACACACAAGTAAAGAGAGCGATTTGATTTATATCGTTCTGGCTTTGTTTCCTGACGTGTCACTCTCTTGAAATGGATAACGTTTGAGTTTAGATTCTTGGGGTCTTCAGTAGTTTTCTATCTGGATAAGGTGAGCCCCACTGCAAGATATTTCGAGCTGATAATTGGGCTCATTTAAGCCCATTAAAGTGTAAGGCCCATGTAACATCGTCATAGGATGATGGTAGTAACTTTCATTCAATAAAACGAAAACCAGACCGTAACATAAAAACACACACAGATCAATGAAAAACTTCACTTTGGAGGACAGAAAGTGATGACATAGCGAGAAGCTCTACACGTGTACAAACTACTCGAATCATCAAACGCATAACTATAAGCTTTCGGACAAATCGCTTTAAACAGATTCGCGTATAGCGTCGGCTTACAAGCCTTAGGATTCGCATATTCACCGGTGCAACAATACTTGGCTGATTGCATGGCCAAACATGCGCTTTTACATCCAACCACTTTGCCATCTCTCTTCACTTCCAAAGCCGAAGGACAGCACACGTTCAAATCAGCTTTGCAAGCCGCCACGCCACATCCTACTCCTCCCCCGATTGGTTTCATCGACACGGGGAGGTTGAATCCGTCGACGAGGCTCACGTCGTAGAAATGAAGCGGCGAGGAAGTGGAGCCTAATGTCATTTCAACGACGGTTGCTGGTGGAACACCGCCGGTTCCTTGGCAGTTTAGTGAGCCGCCGTTGCAATCTCCGGTTTGACATGAGCCTTTACCGTTTTGGTTGAAGCTGCAGCCTTGTCGACCCCATATTCGACCGGACCATTTATCCGGTACATCTATGATGGTCTCTTCGCCGCTTCCCATGTGGAATCCGCCGTTTCTCGGCGTGGTTTGGCCTCCGCCGCCGAGAATGCCCGGCCATATGCTCTCCTGGCAGTTGTTCACTAGTATAAGCTGCGCTCCATCTGCAAAAATAAAATAAAATAAAGTTTACAAAATTTAATAAAGTAATACTTTGAGGAGCAGAGTGGTATCGTACCAATGAAGGAGAGTAAGAAGACTGAGATAGTGAGAAAGAAAAGGAAGAAGATTGCAAAGTTCGCCATTGTTGTTCCTATATGGGTGGGGGATCTTTCACTCTCTAAACTTTGCTATTTTGGGGTAATTTCCAAGATAATATTTATAAATTAGTATGAGAAGGACGTGGTTGATGAGGAAGTGGAAACTTGGTGAAGTGGTTTGTTGTATAAGGAACTGCCAAGTGCTTATCTTTTATAGACTGAGTCTTTAATGGGATTAGTGGGAAAGTGAGAGATAGAGAGGTTTAGGGAGGCTTGATTGTGAGCCTTCTAGAAAGATTAAAGACATATCAATATTTCATTTTGAGAATGGGTTAAAGAAAGGATGATGTTAAAACAAAGTTAAGAATGGTTAAAGGAGGATTAAAAGAAAAGGTTAAGATTCATGTTTCTCTGGACGTTTGTTAATGAAAAAAGATGCCTAAATTTCATCCTTTCACCATACTTTATTTTCAAAAATACAGCAGAAAGCAAATAGTTAACAATCAATATAGCAAACTCTTTAACCTAAATTCCATCATCAAAGGTTTTACTTAATTTAAGAAATTACATATTGTAGATTGGATGTTTTTAGAGTTGTTTTATAATTTAATTTTACAGTATGTGTTGTGACAAAAAGTGTATAAACTCATCACCACTCGCTTGTATTTCCTGACATTTCATACCTTTGGCACAACCTTTATCACTTTGTAGAATCAGCAAAGAGCATATATGCGTTGCTTCAATGTGAGGATTTGCTTTCTTTTGAAGATAGGATATAGCTGCACAAAACAAATCATTACGCTCTCTTTTTTTCATGATTTATAAAATTTTGTTGTTCTCTAAAGGTGGTATGAGAAATTGAATGCAAGAATGTGGTTAGACTCTAGACTAATTTGGATCTTTATAACAAGTGTGGAGGTTGAAGTTTTTTTGGTAGATATGCATCTTGCAAGAGATTAGTATACTTAACATGATTAGAAAAGAAAAGTATACTTCAAAAAATATATAGAAAACTACAATATAAACCAAACCGGTCGGTTTAAAATCAGTGGGCAAAACCGAATGAACAAACACTTGAAATTGGACACAGGCTCTGTTCTAAAAAACGGCCGCCTAGCCGCCTAGGCGATCCTCTTCCGCTCCGATTTATACCAAATCGCCGTAGAAAATCGATCGTCCGATTTTAACCCGCCTAGACCGCCTAGCCGCCTAGGCGACCGCCTAATCTATTTTTTTATTTTATTTTTTATTTTTTATAATATTTTTTAATCTATTTATTTGTTTTCAAAATTAATAAATTATAATTTTGATGAAATTATATCATATTAACTTTGTATATTCTATTTGTGTGTGTTTATAAGATTCTAAACATGAAAATGTATTAATGTTATATACAATTAAAGATTAATATATCTTATAACATATCAAATAGTTTAAAAATTCTACCCCGTATAGTTTTCACTTAATCCTCGATTTTCTCTCTAGACGGTAGGCCCAATCGAGCCGCCCGACTAGCGCCTAGGACACAGGTAGTGACGGCGATGAAGAGCTCCGTGAGGTTTTTCCATAGAATATATTCTGGAGAAAGACTCAAAAGAGAGTAAAAAATCGAGCGAAGAATATGATTCGTTCAGTTGCCAAATATGCAAGAGCAGCAGCAGCAGCCGCAACGATTCGTGGCCGCGCGATACCAGTTAGAAGCAGCTCTGTTCGATACTCGATTCCGTTGAGGTGGATTCACGGTGAAATCAGCGTTCCAGACGCGAATCATGTTGCAATTCAGATGGTCAACTACGCTCTTTCCCACGCTCGGTCTCAAAAATCAGGTGTTTTTCCAATCTATCTATCTATGATCATCGCAGTATTTCAGGTGCTTGCCTTAAACCTTAGTTTCTAAGAGAATTTTGAAAATTTGAAAACTGCAGTGTGGTGATGGAAGCGCCCCGTTTCTTCAGTTCGTTCATGAACTCCTATCCGGATGCGCAAGATTCGCTTCTCCCCTCCCAGTATCATGACCTCATTGCCTTTGTTGCAGAGTGTCTAGCCTTTATTGGCATATCTAGACTTGTCTGCAAGTCAGACTGTCTTGAACTCAATTGCCTCCTTTCAGAGAGTTGGTCTCTTGATGTTCTTTGGATCTTATTCGCTATTCGATCCCTTATCTTATGTTATGTATTTTCATATGGTTGTAAGTTGCCTTTTGGCTTTGTATTTTCCTCCTGTAATGGAGGTTGAAACTTAAGTTAATGGAAATGTTGTTTGATCAAAAAAAAGAAAACTGCAGATGAATCATATGCACAAGGGATGCTAGTACTTGAACAGTGCCTTGGGACTCAACCTAACGATGATGAAGCTTCTCAAGATTCTAAAGCTACAGTCTTGCTTGCTATGTCTGATCTTTTATACGAAAGGTTTCATCTTTTCTCTCTCTCTCTCTCATCTCTTAGTACTAAAGCTTAAGAATTTTATAATTAAACGTATTGTGTTTTACAGTGGGAACAGTAGTGAGGCCATTGAACGCCTCAAGCAAGTCATGTCTCTCTCACTCTCTTCCTTGTCTATTAGAGGTTAATCTCAAAATTATGATTTTTTTTTCTTCTCGATATGTGCTTTTTTCAAGGTTTTTGAGTCTGAAACTGTCTTTGTGTTATGAAGCTGTTGCTTTGGAAGCTCTTGTTGGTCTGCTGATTCAGTCTGGACAGGTTCAAATCCCAACAATGCTACTTAATTCGTGTGTTGTTAACATATAGGAACTTGTGTTAGAAAGTTGATTTTTATTTTTCTCTGTTTAGGATGATGCTTCTTTAAATGTTGCTAATGAATTTCTGGAACTGGTTAAAGAGAGAGGCCATGATAATCTTCAGGACGTGTCTGCCACAGCTAAAACTATCAAAGGCCTCGCTGAGCTTGTGACAGGAAATATTGAATCCGGTAGAGAAAAAGCACATCAACTTCACTTTACTTCTGTCTAATTTTATCCCACATAGCCTCAATGTTTTATGTATAGCCTAATGGTAAATTATTTTTTGTTGGTGCAGCCGAATCTTTGTTTCGAGGTCTTGAGAACCATGAGATGTGCAGAGGTACACACTAAAACTGTGAATAAGGTGGTAGCCCTGTCGTTTTCTTTTGATGAAGCATAACTGCACATGTATATATAGGTAACGTTGCACTTTCTTATGGTGAATTCTTGCACGCCGCTGGAAACTTTGAAATGGCAAAGGAGATGTATCAAAAGGCAATTCAAGGAGTGACAGAGACCAAAGAGTCCATGTGTTCTTGTAACATGAATTTGAAGGCAGTCTCATTAGCAGCCACTTTTGCACTTGGCCAGCTCGAGTCACACATTGGGTAGGGTTTTGCGTTTGTGTGCATACGGGTCCTCGCTAATTTAAAATGTGAATTTCTGGTTCTATCATCATTAGTCTCTGTTTTTTGTTTTTGCTATTTATTAGAAACTTTGTTGATGCGGAGGAAACACTGACAAGTGCATTGACAAGTGTTGAGGAATATTACGGTACTGTGAGATGTGTCTTTTTCCCATCAGTTCATTGATTAAAGCACCACCCTAATAGATTCTGTGCTACTTTTTCGGATCAGGACACAACCATCCCAAGGTTGGCATGATTCTAACTGGAATAGCTCTCATGTACCGGAACAAAGCAAAGCAAGAACGCTCGAGTTCTATCATGATTCAAGAGGTCAGTAACAAATTACTTCAGAAATCACAAGACATATACGAACTTCCTCATCTTACACAATTTTCTTTCCATCTCAGGGGCTCTTTAGAAGAGCATTGGAGCTCATGAAAGCACCTCCATTAGATTCAGAAGGTGGTACCTTCACGTGAGATTTTTGAACCTCCAGTTTTACAATTGTACTCACCAGTTTATGTTCCTGATTTTTTAGGGATAATAAACATGGAAACTCAGGAAGTAATGGCTCTAGCAAGAGGTGGGAAAGATACAACGCTTTGATCTGTTTTTTTTTTTTTGGCTCTTGGATTACCTAAAGAAGTTGGATTTTGTGATTGGTGCAGGAGGGTATGCGGAGCTACTACTGATTCAAGAGAACAGAAAAAGCGAAGGAGAGAGGATGAAAGCATGGGCTGAGTCTGCCTGGAGAAACAGACGTATATCTCTTTCAGAGGCATTGACTCCCTCCGAGCCATTACATAAAGTAGCCATCATAGATGCTCGCACCACTCGTGTCCTTTAAACCCCCTAACAGCTGTTGAATGTATAATTAGTTTTACATTTCATAAAGAGCTGTTGTTGTGCCTATAAGATTAAACACACTACAAGCCCTTTCCCAAACTCCACACCGTAGCTCACATTTTCCCTTGTTTAGAATCTGTGAGACTGAACGTGATTAACTGTAAACTGGCATGTACCATTTATTTTGTTTAAATGTTTTTACTGTTTGATAAAATGGTTGACATTGGGGTTTTACTTTTGGCACTCACATCAAATAGGATTCTCCTTTTCAGCCACGTGTTGTTACCTCACGAAATATTACGTGCATGGTGATAATTTATGGAGATTATATTTCTTCCATTATACTGTATTTAATGATATCCTCATATCAGCAATAATTTGTTCAATACTAGCATGTTAAATAAAAATATTTCACTTTTATTGTCAAACATTAGTAAATGGTACATGCCAGTTTACAGTTAACACAAAAATGTACTCTCTATTCATAAATGCGATAATTAATTCGACGTAACGAATGTCATTCTTTTTGCAGGTCGATGCTCGTCTTCCTGATTATCTCTTTCTCTCTTCTTATCGGATCGCAAAATCTGAAAAATGGCAGAAAGATCTCCAACGCAATAAACAATGTTCATGTTCATCACGTCTCCTCTCTGCAACACACTCGCTAGACTCTTCCCTTCACCAGCTTCTCTTCTCCAACCATTTTCAACGTTTCTAGATTTCATAACATTAACACATTTCCCAATACTCTCCTGCAATTATCCACATAAATAATTAACAAAATGTTTTCCATTTTTAGAACAAATTATTAGTATAACACTACCAATTTTACCTTGTGTTCTTGTCCAAAAAGATTCATAATTTTTCCAAAGTTGTCTTCTAGAGCTGCTTTCTCTTCTAACACATTCAACACAGCCGCAACCGCCACTACGCTTGGTGCGTATGCAAGCATCTTCAAATCTGCATCCACATTTCACGTTTCAAAATCGATCAATCATTTACTATTCATTTTACTTTCTTCATCTCCAGCCAAATTAAAAAACAATTTTAAAATAAAAAAATATCCATATAGATATGTGAGAATTAATCTCTTACCGCATAAACTATCTAGCAAATGATCTGTGATTCGATTCATCATTATGTCTCCACCTCCCATCCCGATTTTAGTAACAAGAATTTGCGAAAAAGAGAAGCTAGTGACCGAGTTAACACGCCATTCTATAGCTTTCAACACAATGAGTTCCATCTCAAGAACGGTCTTATGGTGAAACATATGAATTAGCCCTTCCATCTGAAAATCTTCAAGTGAAGGGGATGAAACTTCGTTAAATTTTGATGCGATCGATAATGAGGTTACTGCAACTAACTCCACCATCCACTTACTCCATTCCTGCATTTTATCAATTCTTATTGGATTTAGCAGATGTTACATTGCAATGTTAATATTATTTTATAAATCCATTTACTTACATTGCAGCTAGTGGCATAGACGAACCGATCAAAACAACTTACGGCGGAAAATATCGTTTCAAATGATAGATTCAAACGATTCCGAGTCTGGCAAATAAACAAAAAAACATCCACTCATATATTACTGCTTAGAAGGAACGTGTTTCCAGTAGATACTTCACACAAACAAATCATAAATATCAGGTTTACGTGCGAAAATATGAACAAGTACTAATTAAGTTTTTCAAATGCAAAATTAGACTTGCAGTGACCAATCCAAATGTTATATATATATATATATATATATAATTTGTCAAAAGATGAAAGCTCTTTGGTTCTAAAACAAATTAGGAAAAACAAACGAGTTAGATTATAAGAGTTAAAATACCTGAACGAGCCATCGAACTGTTTGAAACCTAGCATCGGTTAACTTCTTAGAAACAAGGAACTCAATAAACTTATCTCCGTGATTACTGAAACTCATTTCTTTCTTCAAATCCATGGAAATGGCTTCCCCGACCGTTGCTGCATCCATGGCTGGAGACATTGCCACGTGATCGTCGTGAATATTCAACCGGAAGTTTGGTAAAGGCTCAGGAGTTGAAGGACCCGACAGCCATGACTCGTCGCACAGTAGATTATCCATTGGAACCGGTTCGTTAAACCGATTTTAAGGTATTTAGTTTTTTTTTTTCACTCTGGGAACAGTGATATGAAATCAGAGAGTGAAAGTGACCTATATATATATATGGAGAGAGAGAGAGAGAGAGATGGTCGTGGAGAAGAACATGGGAAGTTATGAAAAACAGTTAAATGGATTAAGAAGATACGTCGGTTTAACCAGAGAAAGGTGCGTTGGTTTATTGGTGTTCAGTGTTTATGTAAGAGATTATTTAACACGAGCTACGCTTTTTTTTGTTAAACCGGGTTCAATTGGATAATTACCGTCATTTTAGCTAAGAAATCACGAATCAAATAAATAAATAAAAATGACCGAGAATTCTTTGGTTATTCGACTATGAATTTATAAATACTTAATACGCATGTAAATGTCCGAAGTTATTCAACTACGTATTTATAAATCTTTGAATTTATCCAACTATGTATTTATACAATTTTTAATCACTGCTATTTTTTTAAATAACTGATTTTAAATAATCTGAATAATATTTGAAATCCATGTGATCAAATACTATTTTTATGTTCTTGAATCTTGGTTAGAACTCATTTAGTGATTTTGCACTAACAAATCTATCTTATTTAAGACAATAAATTCTTTATCATTTATTTCTTATTTATTGATTTTGCACTCACAAATCTAGTTTAAGATATGTTATATAGATTTCAAATAAATATAATTGTGGCAAATATATTATATAAAAAATTAGATCTTGTTTACCTTTAACTTTGTACCATAGTTTTGGTCACTAATTGAATCCAACGGAGTTTGAAGAATCATATAAAATCATGTTACAACCTATTAGAAAAGCATCATGTTACAATCTATTAGAAAAGCATCATTTTATAGATTAGTTGGATTTGGAGAATGCATTCTTTCCAAAATTTGTAATTAACTTTGCATGTCCATTTAGAAAACCATCATTTATAGTAACTTTGCATGTTTGTTTCTATAAATATTTTTTGGTTTAAAAGTACATGTTTCACACCAGAGATCAAGAGCTTAATTAAAGATCTGTATACATATTTTTTTCTTGCTGGAAGAAAATATCATTTTATTTATTTTTTGAGTGGAGATAGTTGCAAAGGGTATAATAAGAAGAGGTCGTTCCACATGAAACGCGGTAAATGCTTTCTACCCAATTGGTTAACTGATTATCTTCATAGAGATTTCATGGTACAAAAACGTGTAAAAAAATAAATGTTTCAGAGAAGACAAATATATATACGGGTACAGTGTTTCTTAATCTTAACCAACCTCGTGACTCCACGACCTTTGCGTAATTACCTCTTCCATGACAGGAAATGATTTTTTTTTATCGTGACAGCATATAAACTAGTACTATTTTTATATTTATTTTTTTCGCACCAACTTCCTCATTTTTTGTTGCAAACTAAGATATTATTTTTGATATGTTTGTGGAACGAGAAGAAAAAGATCATTCTTTGAGTTTTGAATCTTGATTAGTTGCTTATGACCCAAGGAACTTCTCATTTTACCTTTTCTACGTATAGCTTGTTCTACCGTTTGTCTCCGCTTAACGACACGTCTCTTAAATCCCTATCGTCTGTTGTAGAAACTTTTAAATCTTATAAAACAGTAATCAATGTACAACTAGAGCTTATATGATAAGTATATTTTTTATTTTTATGGATACATACAATGGGAATGGTGACTAGCTTATACTGAGACAAGAGAAATTAATTAACATCATATATGGTTTTGGTATTTGTTTGTTTGTTACAAGCTTAAGGAGAGTAGGTATCTTGGAACTGCCAAGGGTTGAATTGGGTCGACTTCATATCGGTGTTATCCTGAGAGTTATCAGCTGCAGCGCGGTGCACCAAGTACTTACCATTGAATTGGTACACTTCGAGGTCCCCCCATGGTGTGGGAGTAACTTCCTCTGTTTCATCAAACCACTTCGGAACAAACCGTTGGCCTTTCTCTTCTCGGGTTCTCTTCTCAGCTCTTTGTCTCTCTTCTAGACTAAGAAACAAAAACCAGGATTCTATTAGTCTTTAACATTACTTATGGCCTTATCGGGTGGTGGCAAAAAGCCTATATATATTGTTTACCTGCTCTTTTCATAACCAGCTTTGGTCATATCGCCAATGTCGAGGGCGTATCTATCAGGGCGTAGACGTGAATCAGATGACAGTAGCTTACTAGGGGCAGTGTCAAAGCTATTGATCTTGTGAGCAAAGTGTGTGTATTGGTATTTATCCTTCTTTGGAGCTTCAGCAACCTTCCATACCTGTGGGAAGGTAACTTATATAGTCTTAAGACGTGTAGCAATATCTTTTTTTTTTTTTGGTTTGCTAAGGATATAGATATTGACAAAAACCTCTTTTAGTTCGGTGCCTGTAAGAGGTTCGCCTTCAATGTCACAAGACTGATAACTCAAGGACTCGTTCCATTTACCGGTCACTAGTATCTTGGGCTCTTCAGCTGAGTTATACACGTAACCATCCACCTCATAACGGCCAGATCTGTCCGATTAAGTCAAAAAAAAAACATTCAGATCCATTAATTAGGACAAAAGAAGTGTGATGATGAGGAAAGAAGTTTTACCCAAACCAGCCACATGGCTGAAAGTAAAGCACCGCTTTGTCGCCAGTGGTGAGGTTGGTCATGATCATCTCTCCTGAAGAATCGACCCATGTTCGTCCGAAGATAAGGTTATGAGCCTTACTCGGAGGAGGTACAAGATCAAGAACCACACCATCTCTTTTAAGTGTCACTCTTGTCCTATATATATACGCACACATAGATGCATTATATAAAATCTAAACACTAAGGAAATTTGTATAGTCAGTTACATATTACAGTAGGAGAAGTTACAAACCTTCCTACGGGGTAGAAGTCGATTGAATTGCCTAGTAATTTCGATTTCAGCTTTGAAGTGCAGTCGTAAGAGAAATGCTCGTTCTCTGCGTGAGCAGCACTCATTGGTGGGTGATGGCTGACCTGAGGAATTAACAACAACGCCATTAATATATATGATTAAGAGTTGTAAATTAGAAATGACTCACCTGTTCAGCTATAAAATTAATCCCATTATGGTTAGTCATCTCGTAAGTTTCACCGAGGATTGGATTGAACGGCTTCCATGTACGTTGGTAGGCATAATACACAGATATAGCCCATGTTGCTGTTGGATATATATATATTTAAAAAAAAACAGTTAGCCAAGACTCAAGAGGTAGGTATACAGAGTATGAACACACAAGGAAGATAGGAATGTGAATGTGCTTACATGCATATACCATGCGCAAGTAAGGGTCGTGGGTTTTGTCAGCCATATCCAGCAGATGCGAGTATTCCATCAACTAATTAATGAGGTTACAACAAATGGGTAAAAATAAATATGCATAATAATTCAGCTCAAAAGAGGTTTCATGTAAATATAATCTCTAAGAACATGTACAGAACCTCTGCCATTTTCTGTAGCGTCGTCATGGGTTCAAAAATGATCACAGGAAGAGTCACCATAGATGTAATATCAGATCCTATGTACTTTTGCATCATCTTCCAATATCCATCACGTTCCTGAGAGATATCAGCCAAACATTGATCATTTCTAGATTAACAGTAATATTATTACCATTCTTGTAATATCTTCTTTTTTTTTTTTAAAAGATGATGAATAAATAGTTGTATGTATATACCTCTTGTTTCCATCTTCCTCTTCCTGCTTCCTCCCCTGCATCTTCTATACTTCCATCTGGATTGATGACTTCTATCCCTTCATAGCCCATCAACCTGAGAAAAAGAAACAAACATATCTCATCACACAACACTGCTTTATCCATAAACACACACACACACACACAATCCTTATGCTTATTACCCGTTAACTGATTTCGTCACGACCGACCCCAAGTTGGTGATGGAAGAAGCAAGAGAATTTAAAAAACCGCGGCTGCTTTTTGAATCGTTAGGAGACATCACTTTCACCACCGCCGATTATAGAAACGAGACGACTGGCTCAAACTTAGGACAAATATGAGCTTTTATGGAGAATGATTCCTTACAAGGATAGGCAAAGAAGTTCGTTGATAAAAATGGAAGATCAACTATGGAAAAGGCGATAAGAAGACTTTGTGCTGGTCTTCCTTTGACGGTTCTTTTCGTGTTTACTTTTCTCGTTTTTATTTCTTCTTTTGAAAAAAAAAAACGGGAATGTTAAACCGCAACAGACCGGATTCAATCGATGTGCCTTGGATTCTTTGAGCACAAAATACGAGTCAACATGTTGCGTTTTTCATAATGCAACGGCCTAAAAGTATACACTACTATTAAAATCAGCATTCTGAAGGTTTTTGGGTTGAATGATACAACATTTAAAGGCATTTTAGTGCTTAAAAATCATTTCTTGGAAATTCAACAATGGCAAATTAAGATCTACATTTCTATGCGCTCAAAGCAGTAAGTTGTAGGGATATCGTTGACACAAGGCTCCTTCGGTTGTGGGAAGCTTGGAATGTCAAGAAAGGTGGAGAGTTGATGGGTATAATTTGTCATTTGTTCATAAATTGACAGTTGCATTATTCATCATTTGTTTGTAATTCATCGATCTCATAGTATGTACCGATATGAATAATTTCTTTAGACCATCTTCAATATTCACTCTATTTTTTTTCTTCAAACTATAGTAACTCTATAATATAATTGAATTGAGAAATATTTAAAAAGATATAACATTAGATATGTATTAATTAAAAAATAACCTCATCCTACGTGGCAGCTCTCAATGTCTTCTAATTCAATTTAGAAGATATCTAGAGCGCCTTATATAAACTATAGTATAAAATTATATTCTGTAGCAATATAATATTTCGTATGCTATAGTTGGTCGAATATATCAAATATTTATTTTTCCACAGGCTTTCCTTAAATAAAACATATGGAATTACTTAATGTGATTCAAATATATAAATGACAATTAATGATTTTAAACAATAAAAATTTGATAACAATCTGTATACATTTTATCATTTTTGTTAATTTCTTTATTATTAAAATAAATTACACAACTATATTAATCATATAATAAAAATCTAGATTTTTTGTGTATGTTGTATTTCAAATTTTTTAAAACAAGTATAAATTACTAAAATTGTTAAAAGTCTCACATAAACTTTTATGATCAAGGTTTAATTTTTTTCTATATTAAGTTACAATTATTATAAGACCATATGAAGAATTTTTTTTATTTTAATAGGTTTTATGTTAATATATATATTTCATATCGTATAAATTAAAATATACATCGTATGAAAATACATACTTATATTTTGATATTTACATTGAACATATATTGAAAACTTAATATTTTAATTTTAAAATCTGTCATTGTTTTCTAAATGATTATCAATTATTGAAACTACTAAACATCTCACATTAAAAAAATTCGTTGGTATAAATTTTTGTTAACCAAATATGCAAATAATCATAAAATCATATGAGTAGAAACCTAATTTAATAAATATCCATACTAAAAGTATGCTATATATCTATATTAATATCATTTAAATTTAATTATATATCATATACGATAGATAAGATTGATTATTTTGATTTATTTACCTTAGTTGCGAATAAACAAGAGTGATCGTTAGATTTATATGCACGCGTCAATTTATTACTTAATAGTAACTGATTTATTCGTTATTTAATATATATTCTTATTATTTTATTATTTCATAATATGTAGGAAAACATAAAATAAATATAAAATATTTATTCTGCAAAAAGGTGCAGATCTTAACTTAAGTATTAACTATTTTAAATCTTAAGCATTTTCTAAATCCCAGGCCAAAACAAACAAACGAAATGAGAATAAAATTCAAAATCAATATTTATATCAAGCAATCATCAAAACAGAAGAAGACACAAAAAGTGAAAAAAATTGAAGACATATATGGTTGGCATGTGAACATGAACTTCTCATACCAATAATTAATTAAATTACTAAATCGTGATATAAAACCGAACTGACATAGTTTCATTGTAACCAAATAGACCCGAGATTTTTCGACCTAAACGTTAGGTTTTGTGCAGTAAGTAATATTTTGACCTATAACATTTTTTAGAAATTAGATCAGCTCATTAGTAAATAAATTATGTCATTAACAAAGAATTAAAGAATTGTTTAAATATCAAAATCTTAATTCAATCAATAATATAGATTTATTTTAAGTAATTTTTATATAAATTTATCATGCGTAAGACGCATGTCTTATCCTAATTTTAGAGTAAAATAGAATAATAAACAAAAAATAAAAAGATTATTCTATTATAAAGTAAATATATTTTTACTCTATTATCAAATGAATAATAGAGAATCATTAGTGTACTTTTACTCTAAATTCTATTTTAAAATGGAAAATAAAGTGAGATTAGAAATGTTCTTATAACTTTCAAATATCATTTGACTACATAATCCAAACAAAAAATCAACACACAAAACAAACTATTAATGAGAACTAACTATATATTTCATAATTTTTGTTCCGTAGAACTCACTTAACACCCTTTTATTTAATTGGACGCTAGTCTCGCTAAGCTTCTCCACAAACCTAATTTATTTCTAATGAGAGATTTCACTATTTATTTCTTCCTTTTTGGTGGTGTGGCCTTCATAGCTAACGCCACAGGAATTTTGAGCATTGTCACGAGAAAGATATTCTCTTCTTTCACAGGAGATATCTGTTGATTGTCGCCGTTGAATTTCAATCCACAGAATGCTGGTCCATCCTCAGCATACATAAATTCAAATGTAGCCTTATCGAAATTTCGCACTTTGACGTAATTCAAACCTGAATTTAATGACTTAAAGCTATTGGAGTAAAGCTTAAGGCATTCGTCCAACAACTTCTTAGTAAGATTATTCTTATATTTTCTCTCTTGTATAATTTTCTCTATCATTCTTTTCACGTTTGTTAAGTTTGATATTGCATTATTTGCTCCTACCATGGTCAAATCACCGAGATTTCTCGCTTTCTGGCTCTCCGGATTCTCTTTCAGAGATGCAATGCAAACTCTTTCGAAATCTGGAATCATGTCTGCACCTGGAGACTCTGAAGCTTGTTTGCATGATTTTTGAATCAAAGAATCTGCATCTTTGTTGGCTGTGCAACCATTGAAAATAAAAGCCAACACGATGAGGTACATCATTTTGTATTTTTGAAACATCTTCATTGTGGTGTCGTATATTGTAACTTATGATCCCATATAAAAGCAAGCAAAAATCTACCCACATGAGAGTAACCACATGTTATTTATAGATGGCTCATGTTTCGCGTTGCCACTCCACTTGCTTCGTTACCTTTTTTGGTGGATCAAACTTAGTTTTATAAGGATATATTGGATTAAAGACCATGTCTAATTATCAATAGTCTTAAACCCCACTATAATCTCTGTATATATTGTACGTATCTTCATATTATGGGAAATACATCATTATTTAATATAGTATCAGAGTTGTAAAGACCTAAAAAATAATAATTCTATGGCCGCCACCTTTTTTTTATCTCCTCAATACTTCATATTTTTCTTCTTCCTCAATTATCAGCTATGTAAATCTCCTCCACACACACCATTGTCTCTGAGTTGTTTTCTCTTCTCGATGTGAACATGATGAATGCCATGAAGCTTACGGCAACCAACTATCTAATGTGGAATCGCTAAACTCATGCCTTACTCGATGGATACGATTTAGTGAGCTACCTAGACGGCTCACAAACTGTGCCACCTGCAACAATCACCACCAAGGGAGTCGTGATTACAAACCTTGCACTAAAATGACAATGGGATCAAACTTTTCCCCATCCATGATGCAAACTATGACTTCATTCAAGTTTTTGAGGCTAGTGGGGTTGGTAATTCAATTTGATACAAATTAATTTTAAATCAGGTATTTTAAATATACATAAGCTAACCATTTTACTTGTTCTTTGACTTTTTATATATCTTCTCTATTAAAAGAGAAGTACCATTTATATCTACTACAAAAAGTCATGTTGGACCTTCTCATTAATATGTCATATTTAATTATTTATATTAATCAATCAAATATATATAATTGGAGGAATATTTTAATAATTAATAAGATATTAGTAATAAATTTGTTGAGAAAATATCTAACAAGATATTACTAAGAAGTTTAAATATTATTATAAAATATGTATTATTTAATTTTGTGATTAATATATAAATATCTATATTAATGTTAATTAAAAATAAAAATTGTTATATTTTATAGTTTAGTTATATTCTATATTATATTAAAATAAAATTCTATGTGAAATGAATATAAAATATATTAAATTGGTAAAGGAAAATATTTTATTTTAAAATTTTTTTTATTCAAATAAATAAATATCACTCACTTTTAAAACATATTAAAGTTTTTAAATCATATAATATTTTTATACAAAAAATGTTAACATAAATTTTTGTAACTCACTACAAATACATTATATAAAAAATTATATATGAATACTTTTTTTTTAAACTTACAACAATTTACTATATTAAAATAATTAAAATTATAAGATTATACAATTATACAATATATAACAATAGAATGTAAATCATATATATTTGAAAGGTTTTGTTATATTTTTATAAAATAAAAAATACCCGCACGGATGTGCGGGTTCAAAATCTAGTTCTACTTAAAAAAGTTCTTATTTGCTTATCGATAAAAACAGAATCTCTTCTTCGGCAGAATGAGTATATTTTTCTATAAAATTAGTTTATTCTATTTCAAACTAAAGATTTCTTCGGTGTAAGTTGAGACTTTCCTTTCACATTTGTGGCCCACAAAATATATTATAGACCTCTTCAATGCATATCCTTAATCCCATTATTAACCGTGACGCTTAAGCATACGTGGCATCATAGGTATCACGCCACGCCACTGTCATTACCCTCTCCGCTCTTCTTATATTATACACCAAAGTAGGGCTGGGCATTTTATTCGTTAAATTTGATTCGATTCGTTATTCGTCTCGATTCCATCCGAAAATTCTGGATATCCGTAAACTTTCGAATCGAAGCAAATACTAAAAATCAATATTCGTAAAAATCGAAGCAAATCACAAATATTAAAATTTTGGGAAGCGGATATCCGATCCGATCCGGAAATATATAAATATATGTATATTTTGATTATATTTAAAATTTTAAATGTATAAAACTATTATTATAGCTTATGGTTTGACTAATTATATTCACATTATTACTTATATTAAAGTATTAGATAAAAAGAAGAGAAAATTATGAAAATTATAAAACAAAATCGTAAGTTTTGTGTTATTATAGTTGTTAACTTAAACATAAAAAATTATAAAATATGTAAATTCACTACTTCTTTATTTTTTATTTTATATATCATGTAAAAAAAATTTACAAAATAAATTTATATAAGATTATTTGTAACGGATGAGATATTCGTAAGTATTCGTAAATATCCGCAAATATCTGTTTATTTTCCGGATATCCGTTTTTCCGGATATCCGTATTTTTCCGAAACAAAGCAAATACCAAAATCAGATATCCGTAACATACGAAGCAAATCACAAATACCTTCAAAAACCCGGATATTCGATCCGTGCCCACCCCTACACCAAAGGCATCGCATTGATCACAAAGACGAGTTCAAAAAAAAAAAGAAAAAGATCACAAAAACGAAACCATCAAAGAATCCCAATCGAAAAGAAAAAAAACAAGTACTTGAAGAGTTTAAAAGATAAAGAAAATGGAAGGCTTGATTCCATTCTTGTACAAAGCCATGGTCATGTATAAAAGAGAAGGAAGCTTTTCGTCAGTTTTGCTCAGCGATCATCATTCTCCCTCTACTTCCGGTTACTACATGAGACTTCCGGGCGACTCCTCCGGTAGATTTCGAACGTCAGACCTCAGGCGATTTGGGACGGACCGTCTTGGATTGCTTAAAACGACGCCTTCTTCACCATCTCGCTCGCCCACTACGAACATCACCAAACGTACGTAAGGAGTGTGTTCTTGATATACTATTTACATAAAAGATATAACTACTATGTATTTAATATAATATATCACCGTAATTTATTATACTTGCAAGTAAAACTACGTTTTGTTAAGTCATCATAATCATTATTAAACTGTGAATATAAGGACATCCAGAATTATGATGATGGAATTTAACAAATATGTTAATAATTTATGGTGGGTCGATCATGTATTTATAATTTGTTTAGTGGATTTGTCAATATTGTGTGCACTTGTAAAGTGTGATCATTAAAAAAAGTGTGTAATATCATAATGTGAATATTTTCCTATGGCAGATATATCTTTTATCATATGTATTTAAATACTTGACTTCCTGTTGCTTATGCATTCTTCTCTAAAAAAAATTTGTATTTAAAAACTTTAAAATTCTCATGTATGATTATTACAAAACTAAATAGTTGGATGTTTAATTATAATAAAACTAAATAGATGGTGTTTTCATACAACCGAACTATTCATTATTCAAGAAAACTCTTACTCGTTTAAAAAAATCTGAAATTAATGATCAATGGTCAAAAACCTAATCATCATTGATTCACATAGCGTACACAAACGTAGAGAGAGAGAGAGAGAGGAGGAAATCATTCATCCTACATAGATTGTTTTTGTTGAGTGGATGAAAGATTCATACATGTTTTTGACTTGGAAGCATTTGAGAAATCAAGAGTGAGATTCTTTGATGTAAGTTGAGTGCCGATCTACAATGAGGCGAATAAGATTGTCTTCTACAATTGATTCAGGCTTATCGCTATCACGCCTAACCACAACATTACCGCTGCTTGAAACAACCACAACTTCTTCCTTGCGTGTTGACAGCTCATTGGCTACAACAGCGTGCACTTTGTACTTTCGTAGAGCCTTTGCAGCTTTCTCTATCAGAATCTTTGAGTCTGTTTCAAGCTGGATTCAAACTTCAATATTAAGTTTTTTTTTAGAATTAAAGGAGAACCATATACACAAAGAGAGAGACGGACCTTGAATGATATACAGAAAGCCTTTGGAGCCCAAGTTGTTCTCAAGATTGAAAGCATTTTGGGGACTTGAGCTAGTCTTATGTCCAAAGGACCAGATCCTGATTCTATTTTGTGCTCTGTCTGGTTTCACCAAACATACAAAAAGCAGTTTTTTAGACCAAAAAAAAAAGAAAAAAGAGTAGGCATGGTCAGAAGGGCATGAGACTCTTACCATGCTATTCCACGGTACATAAAAGTCAGACACAGCAGCAGCAAGATAAAACATTGAACATGGACCTACGTCTTTCAATGCCGTTGCAATCAACCGCAACATCTATAACCGGAAACATTCACAACACCAAAAGTAAAATTTCAGCTGCAACTCTGCTGAAGAATCTATCACAAAATTTTATTGCCATATGCCAGATTCTTGCACCTGAAGATACTCATAGATGGTTGTGAACGGGAGCTTCAGTAAGCGAGCTTCAGCTACTGCCTGCAATGTTCAAAACACACAAACATAAACTGATCATTTTTTTTTTGGTAAAACAAAAACAGTAAAAAAGCAACAAGTGATATAATACGTACAGCTTGCTGGTCCATAACAGCCATTTTCACAGCTTCCGCATGTGATGTATTAACTGAAAACAAAACAAAACAAAAAAAGGATGAACCAAGACCGTAGAAAACATTTTTGATAAAAGATAAAAAAGCCATGTATAAAGATAGAGAAAGAAAGTAAAAAAACCTTGAATGTTGGTGTTATCTGGAAACTGAAAACATTCAAGGAATGGATCATCAGGAAGAGACCGGCAATATGGCTGGCAAGTTCCACTAATGATCGATACCATCATTACCAGAACAGAACTTTCACTTAATTTTTAACTTAGACACAATCCTGAAAGACAGAACAAAAGCAATGTACCTACCTCCTATACAGAAACACGACAGCATATCCAGCCTTGACGAAATTCCTTTGCAACATAATCAAAAACAAATTCAGACCAAAGAATAAACCATAACTGTTTTGTGAGCTAAGAAAAAAAGAAACTAAACTTACTCAGTAGAAGCAGCACCTCTGTTTCCTGAGCTGAAATTATCGATGTATCTTACGCATCGTTGCTCCAGGGGAACCGTAGTTCCGCCTGAAGTCACACAAACGATCCTCCTCCCTCTTGAAGAAGAATTGAGCTCGATGAAGCTATTAAGCTTGTGGACTATCTCTTCCTTGTTCTTGAGAGGTGGAGACGATTCGAAAAAGGAGTTAAATTCATCTTCCCCCAGCTCGGAGATCGAACTCATTTCTTCTCAATTCTATAACAGAAATACTGAATCTCTAAAACGACAAGACAAGAGATCCAACCAAAACATACAAAGATCGATGAGAAATCTGAAAGGTAGATAGATACTCACGAATTAATCACTACAAATGTTGATTCGCAAATCTGCCGCCTCGAACTCGATGATCTCGTCTCCGGTCATCATCATTCACCATGTTCGAATCGAGATGACATGAAGCCGATAAGACTACTGGGCCGTAACGGGCCATTCCTGAATTCTAGGATAAAAAATCTCAACTGTCAAAATAATATTTATTATTCCTTCAAAAGGCCCCTGGCTCCATTAACTATTGTCCATTCTGCATGGAGAGGGTAAAACAAAAATGAAACTAAAATAATACTCTTTTGTTGTCTTTATCACATGGTGGAGAATTTTGAATGATTTCTCTTTTGTCTATATGAATAGCTAATCAAAACTATAATACCAGTCTGTATAATACATTATGCTTCTCAAGAAAATTTATAATTGTTTAGGTTTGAACAAACTAAACGCTGAAGATTGCTTGCCAACTTCAAAGCCTCAAAAGGTTTTGCTTCATGGAAGTTGAAACTTTCCTTTCACATCTTTTCTTTCCTTCTCAGTATACCCACAATAATATATGTTCTTATATATGTTCTTATATCTTTCCCCACAATGATACATATCGTTAAGGCAACAACATTATTCACCCTCACGATTGACCATACGTGTGGCATCATAACCATTACGCTAGCTACATCATTATCTCTACACATTTCTCTCTTATATATCATACCAATCCACTCACATCGGTCATAAAACGCATCAAAACTTAGATATCTCACAACAAAATAAAAGAGATTTTTTTTTATTGTAACTGAAAAGCAAAAATGGAAGGTTTGATTCCATTCTTGTACAAGGCTATTGTTATGTATAAAAGAGAAAGAAGCCTATCATTGGTTTTGTTCAGCGACCATGACTCTCCTTCTACCGATGGCTATTACATGCGACTTCCCGGAGATTCCTCCCCTGATTTTGGTCCTTCGGCGCTCAGGCAATTCGGATCAGAACATGATGAAATGTTCGAAACGAAGTCCTCTCGCACTAGCTAGCTCGGGACATCGCCATGTTACTGCGTACGGACTATGATGTATGATGCGTATATTTATTGGTTTGCATGTGATTAGGGTAATTGTATATTGACCATTATTATACTTGCAAGTAAAGCTATTATATTTGCAACTCTTATGATACCAAACATTCGTTAAAATAATTAGAAGAATAACAACGACGATACTTTTCTATCCACTAGCTAGTATTTTCATAAAGATTTTCAGTATCTATAAAATAAGACGTATGAAATCACATGTGTTTAAAATAGTATCATAGAGGTGACAAGAGCTGGTTGTTGATCGGAGTGGCTTTCCAGTTGTGTGGGAAACGGGAACGGTATCTCAAAACTTGGATACATAACTCCGTAATGAAACCGGACGTTCCTAATAAAGTTAAAAAGTTTGTAAACCTAAAATTCCAAAATATGTGAAAGACGTGAAATCTTTGCATGTGCAGAGCTTTGGATCTTGAATATTCTGTTCATCCTTGTTATTTTTATTGCTTTAGTTATACAAAGCATACACGCACATAGAGTTGTCGATATAAAACTTAGGAATCATGAAAATGTTGGGATGATCATGACAGACATTGAATCTGAACAATCTTCCTTAGAAAATACAAACATGATTTGTTGAGCAAACCCAAATCAATCCTCACCTTTTTCTCGTTTTACAACAAATCGGGAATTGCTTACTTTTATATCATACTATGAAATACGTAACAAGTGTATAACCACACAATAATAACATTAATAATAATCACATTTCATTAGTACATAACCTAAAGCTTTATTCACATCTTGTGATCACCATTTTTCCACACTCTTAATTAGTTTTTTTTTCCAGAATGGAGAACAAGGGGTCATACAACGCCATATTGATTCCAACTCTCTTGACTGTATGGCTAGTATGCGCAGGCCAAGCTTGTGCCCGTCATCCTAAGGCAAACCATCCTATGCCCGGACCACCACGGTGTCCGAGCTGCGGACCCATGGCTGTACCTTACCCGCTAAGCACGGGTCCTAACTGTGGTGACCAAGCCTACAAGATTAATTGTGTTGGAGGTAAGCTCTATTTTGGTGCTCTTCATGGGTCATCGTATCTCATCACGTCTATCAACCCGGTGACACAACGGATCGTTGTACACCCGCCTGGTTTTGCTAGCTCTGGGTCTTGTCTCTCGGCCGATGTCTCTAAAGCTGGCCTCGAGCTCAACCCACATCTTCCTTTTAGCATCACTAATAGCAACACCATCTTGTTGCTTGGTTGCCCTGAAGCTATGCTGCAGGTTACGTATTTTCTTTCTTTCTCCTGGTTTAAACATCACTTTTACTAGTCCAAACCGGTTTTTGGATTTAGTACAAGTTTGCAGTTAATCTGTTTTTATTTGTATTGGCACTCACGTAATTAAGAGTTTCAGTTTAAATTGGTATTAGAGTTAGTTAGGTTCGGTTAAAATGTCAAATGCTCTACTCTTTAAGCAGCTACAAAGAAACTAGATCAAATGTGATGAAACCCGGTTTTCAGGCCTGACCAAAGAGATTTTGGGGTCTGCAGGCGCCAATAGATTGTACCGGGACCAGCTTATGCCACAGCTACATCAAGAACAACGTATCAGCATGTTCCAAGTCTCCCTTTTGTTGCACCTTCAGAACCGACGGGTCTCAAAACGCTTACACGATCAGGATCAACGGTGGAGGATGTCTCGCGTACCAGAGTTTTGTTGGGTTGAATCCAAACAAAGAGATTCCACCTCCCGGTAAAAAATGGCCCGACCCGGGGCTAGAGTTGCAATGGACGTTGCCTAAGGAACCAGTCTGCAAAACGGATGTAGATTGTAACCTCTTGTTGGGTAGTAAATCAAAGTGCTTGCCTGACACAACGAGTCTCGGCCTGAAGCGATGCTCCTGCAAAAAGGGTTTGGAATGGGATCCGGTTAACGCAATATGTAAGTAAACCGCATAGCAAGTGAACCAAACTATTAAAACATAGAACTCTGTTTGATTAAGTTCTTGACATACCTGTGTTTTAGGTGGTAAATGTCGCCATGGGAAAAGCTGCAAGAAAAAGAAGAAGAGCACCGTTGTTTTCGCAGGTGCGGCGGTTGCGGTTGTGGTGGTTACACTGGCGATAGCGGTAGCGGTTCTTGCAAACAAACATAGCCACAAAAGGGTTAAAAAGGAGATCCACAAGAACATAGTAAAGGAGCGACAAGAGATGCTCAGCGCAAAATCCACAGGAAAATCATCAAGAATCTTCACAGGCAGAGAAATCACAAAAGCCACCAACAACTTCTCAAAAGACAATCTCATAGGCACAGGAGGTTTCGGTGAAGTGTTTAAAGCTGTTCTTGACGATGGAACCATAACAGCAATCAAACGAGCAAAGCTTAACAACACCAAAGGCACTGATCAAATCCTAAACGAAGTTCGTATCCTCTGCCAAGTCAACCACAGAAGCTTAGTTAGGCTTCTTGGTTGCTGCGTCGATCTCGAGTTGCCTCTCTTGATCTACGAGTTTATCCCCAACGGAACTCTATTCGAACATCTCCATGGCAATCCAGACCGTAACTGGAAACCCCTGTCTTGGCGAAGAAGACTGCAGATAGCTTACCAAACCGCTCAAGGCTTAGCTTATCTTCACTCTTCAGCAATGCCGCCAATCTACCACCGCGACGTAAAGTCAAGCAACATCTTGCTCGACGACAAGCTAAACGCTAAAGTCTCAGACTTCGGCCTTTCGAGGCTGGTGGATTTGACGGAGACAGCTAATAACGAGAGTCATATCTTCACAGGTGCGCAAGGTACATTGGGATATGTGGATCCGGAATACTACAGGAACTTCCAGCTAACTGATAAGAGCGATGTGTACAGCTTCGGAGTTGTGCTTCTTGAAATGGTTACGTCGAAGAAGGCGATAGATTTTAGTAGACAAGAGGAAGATGTGAACCTTGTGATGTATATGAACAAGATGATGGATGAAGAGAGGTTGGTTGAATGCATTGATCCGATGCTGAAGAAGGCGGCAAGCAAGGTTGACCTGCAGACGATGCAACAGCTAGGGAATTTAGCATCAGCATGCCTTAACGAGAGGAGACAGAACAGGCCTTCGATGAAAGAGGTGGCTGATGAGATCGAATACATCATCAATGTTGTGTCACAAGAGGTTACTACTGAGATACAGTTGTCTTAGGCAATTCACCAAACAATGACCTTGTACTCTTGTTGCCCCTGTTTCCTGGTTATGAATAGATATAAAAAAAAACGATTCATATAACAAAATGAAAGAGATGAGTTTTGAACATTGCCTTCCTCCTTATGATTACGCCTAACAAAACTCAGTTTACTAAAATAAAATGAGTTTAGTACCTAATCAGCAAGGCTCAACAAGATGGGGGCTCTAACTAATATTGAAGACCCATAGATGCAACTAAAAACCTAAAATCATAAGCAAAAAGCATCGTCAATGCAATCAAAGTACAGAAACAATCCGAGAAAAACTTGTCAAAGATTCAGGAAAATTTCATAAACCCTACGGAAAAATAAGGCAAAATTGTGGGTAAAACCAACATTCAAGTGGAAGAAAGAGTGAGGGGAATGATAAAGGTAGCCAACTATGGGCTTTGATAGGCCCATTAATAATGAGGCCTTGTCGAATATTTAAGATAAGAGTCGCTATAAAACCCTTAAACCTCACTCCATCTCTCTCAGTAAAACCCTCATTTCGATTGCAGCAGCAACCAACCCTAGAATCCTCCCCCAAAAAAATGTCGTTGACCACCGTGTTCCGTCGCGCCTCGTCCAGAGTGGCTACTCTTGCCTTCCGTTCAGTTAGATCTCCGTTGACCGTCCGCAGTGCCTCCGAGAGACTGATTCTTGGTACTCAGCAGCTCACCCGTCCATCGGTGATTTCATTCTCGAGGTTTCATTCCACGGAGAGTGCCGTTACCAAAACAACCGCCGACGAGAATCTCGTTAGCGTTCTCGAATCAGAAATCGAATGCGCCGTTAACGAGGAGGCGCCTGATCAAAACGTAGTAAGTTCTCTGTTTCCATATATGCATCTGCCAGATGTGCCTTTGATTTGTAGTTAGAGTAGTTGGTGTGGTTAGTTACATGAATTATCGATTAGAAATATTGTGATGATGAATTTTGAAATTATCAATAGATGGAAGATATACCAGAAGGATTTCCTTTCAAGATCATTGATACTCCTGGAGAACGAACTGTGTTGCTTCAAAGGAGTTTTGAGGATGAAACTATTCAAGTAGAGGTTGACTCTTCTGCTCCTTATGACGATGGTGATGAAGCAGAACAGGAACAAGGTGAACAAAACGATGATGAAGATGATGAACACTCTGTTAAAATCAGGATTCCTATGGTTGTGAGTGTCTCCAAAGGTGATGGTGTCTGCCTTGAATTTGGAGTCAGTGCTTACCCTGATGAGATTGTGATTGATAGCTTATCCATCAAGCATCCCCAAGATTCTGACAATGAGCTTGCTTACGAAGGACCTGATTTTGAGTAAGTTTTCATTCCCTTTGCTTTCCTTTGCTCAAGTGAGGATGGATCTTGTTATGTGATTTGACTTGTTTTGGGTGTGATGCAGTGACTTGGATGAGAATCTGCAGAAGGCTTTCCACAGGTTCTTGGAGATCAGAGGGATCAAGCCCAGCTTCACTGACTTTCTCGCTGATTACGTCGCCAACAAAGACAGCAGAGAGTATCTTCAATGGCTTAAGGATGTCAAGTCTTTTGTTGAGAAGTGATTACTCTTCTTTGTTTCCATGAATGATAATAAGAGTAAAACTACTTTTAGTTGAGGTTTTTTTTTTTTACTTCAAATCGTTTTGGGATTTATGAACTTGTTATCCCCATATGATCCATAATGATACTTGTTCTTGCGTGTTGGCAGTTTTGCTACATGTATTTTCTTTTGAGTTTCAATTTGCCATAAGAAATGAGACATCTTTACCCAATAAACATTGTATACGTTTTCAGTGTCTATGTGTCTTTGATCAATATCTCTGATCAAAATCAACCAATTGATAGGTGAGTATGGTTCTCTCACTTTGTGCATAAGCAAACCATGCACTTGGCTTCATTTGATGATTTCATATGGTTCATAGTAGTTTATCTTTGTGTATCTCTTAGGTGACATCGATATAATTTGATTTTGCTCCTTGTTATCTAGAATGTCAGTATGAATAAATAGATTTTTTTTTGTTTTTCGTTCTCTAGTAAAATCATAACAGCAGCGCCATACATATAAGATTTATGTTTTCTAGGGACTAGATAATACCAAAAATGTTATTAGTATATATAAAATATTGTTCTGCATGTTGAAAATTTCAATATATATATATATGTTTGCATGTTTAGTATTTACTAAAAAAATCTTAACATGTAGGTTTTCTTTGAAGTTTAATTATGAAGTCTTATTAGTTACAAATGAATGATTATAATTCACAAGATTCAGTTGTAGTAAAAAGGAAAAAAATTCAAAGACTAATTAAGGATTATCTTTAACTAACCAATTTCGATGGTGTAGTGTAATGCTTTTTCTTCTCAAAGTCAAGTTTGTATGGAGCTGAGTGTTGCCTTGTACCTCGAGTAAGGAAGAGGTAATCTGTATCCCGAGGATTAAAAATCACATACACATTTGCTTTACATGTCTATGAAGTTTTAAACCCCAGGATGCAGATTACCAGTTCCTTGCCAAGTATCTTCATCTTCTTCTTTGTCGCTGCTGCTGTTATTGTTTCTGGTGAGTTGGTTTTGTTGTTGTTAATAATGGTAATATAAATAGAGCTGGTGAAGCTAGTAAACAGTGATGGTGCCAAAGAATAATACTTATTCCAAAGGTTTAATGCTTCTGGAACAAATACTCACAGAGACAGACAATATCTTTTCTTGTCCATGATTTCTTATATATTCCTAATATTTATCTTCAGTTCAGCGCATATCCATAGACCGATATATACGCTTGACGCGTCTCATCTCTATTCTCGCCTACACATGTACATTACATAGCATTGCTTGCATGGTTTTTAATTTAGATCAATTTTAACCTTACCGACGAATGAAATCGTTATAATATCCTCCATTTTTTAGTCTGTTAAGTTTCTTTAGTTTTCACCAATACTGGTCGTTCTGTGTAACATTTACTCCGAGCAACCGTAAACGTTGTTTTTCGACTTAGTAAAATAATATTCCCTATCACCCTTTCATAGTAGTAGAGTCGAAAATTCTTCTGAAAAATATGATCCATGTTTAGAAAATTCGTCCAGCTCCATTTCTTTTACCCTACTTCTACACTTAGCTCCAGTAAGTTTGTCTTAGTGACTATTATAATGATCTTTTTGCTTATAAATTTGAACATGATTTTTTTTTTATTTAATAGACAAACTTTTTTTGAATTTAGCAAAAATAATCGAATAGTTATGTGTAGTTTTTAGAAACTTATTTGATTTTATACATAAAACGTGTGGAGGGTGGTTTTTCGCATCCACATATAAAGGAGATAAATTGTGAAAGATCAAATCAGTGATAAATTGATTCTTTGTTCTTTACGAGCCAATGATGGGCACCTTCGTTTTTTTTGTTGGGAACTTTTTATATTCATAGTCTTTGAAATTTTCTTTGACTGCTTTTATACCCTTTTCTAGGATCATCGCGATCCACATGAAGTCATGAACCAGTTATCCTCTCATTATTGTATTTCACATAATTTTATACTCCCTCCGTTTTATATTAAGTGTCATTGTAGAGAATTTTTTGTGTTACAAAATAAGTGTCGTTTTTGGTTTTCAATGTAAAATTTATTAATTTTATTATGTAATTTGTTTTTCTATTGGTTAAAATATGGTTAGGTGTATGGGTAATTGTGTTTTTATATAGGAAATATGTAAAATTAATTATTTTCTTAATCCGTGTGCATAGCTGTAGAGTGACACTTATATTGAAACAGAGGGAGTATTTAGTAAACTACATGCTTAAATCACTAAAGTGTAACTAATGGTAACATTTGAGATATTCAGTTGGCTTCTTTGTTTTAAAATAATTAATTCCATCTGTCCACATATTGAAACTTTTTCACAATCAAAACCAAATACTCTACGATGGGGATGATGCTATGATAAATATTTTGCAATGAGTATAAACAACATAAGAACAGTATGTGAAATTTGAGAATGTACGAATGCTTATAAAAAAAAAAATCAAAGGGTGTCTGAAGAAAGAAGGCCAAGAAATGGTCAGGAGATTTTCTCGAAAAAAAAAATGGTTAGGAGAATAAATTTTGAAAGAAAGACAAACTTATTTTTTCACAAGATATGAGGTAAAGGTTATATATTTTCCTTGTTTTCCAAAAGCAAATGCAAAGTTATTTTGAAGCAATAAAAGTACCCTTTTTCAATCTTTTGCTCTCATGGGCTCTTCAAAAGCCAAGTCTGTAACCCACCCTTTAAAGTTTAAACCATTGTTGAACCACAAAAACCGAACTAATTGAAATTTGGTTTGAACGGTTCAAATTTGCTTCTTTTAGTATAGTTAAATAGTATAAGCTTGAAAAGTTAGGGTTTCAGAACCAAATAGTTGAGCAAAATAGACATTAGCACAAACAACCTATGCTGTTGGATTTAATCGAAAATGATTACGGTGAGCTAGAGCCTAGAGTTCATTTCATTTCCCAATCCCCAAAGAGATTCGTCAAAGGAAAACAAAAACAAAGAAAAAAATTGAAAACATTCTAAATATAGACATCATTACAATTTTCCATATCTCAAATACATAGCAAACGTCAAACATAATTTTTTTTATCAACACACAAATAAATCTCATCCTACAAAATCATGTAGAAACTGAGGATTACTAGTACCTCCAATAAAATCTCTCCCAAACTGACGATTTTGCACTTCATACCCACCACCGCCACCACCGTAAGACACCCCTCCTCCACCACTACTGCCACCTTCAAGTCCAAACCTCTGAGCAGTTGTCATCGGAAAAGGCTCCGGCAACCCAATCTGATGATGAAGCCCTAACGTCAACGACACTCCTGCATTTGTGCTGCCACTCATCCCCGCTACATTCGACGACGCAATACCGTAGGAGAAGCCAACCGCGCCGCCGCTACCACTGTTTCCAGCGTTCATAAAGTTGTTATTGTTGTTGTTGGTAACATCCTCGGTTTGCACTCGTCTACCTGGAGATGAGTTATTGTTAGCTCTTTGTTGAGCTGCGGAGGAAGAAGGGTTGTTGTTGTTGTTGTTGTTATGGTTGTTATCGGGGAAGACGGTAGTGGTGTTACATTCGTCTCTCCAAGAAGAAGAAGAAGATCTCTGAGATTGTCGAGTCTCCAGCATATGAATCTCTTCCACCATCGGCTTCCAAACCCTAACTCGTGCGTTTATGAACCAGTTCGATACCTGAAAATGATATATAGTTAATAATTAACCAATAATATTTAATATAATACATTTGGCAAACCATATCCCGACGGTAATGGTTATCAATAATAACCTAGGAAGTAAAATCAATGAAAGCAAAAAGAAACCCTAGGGATTTACTTAACCTTCTTTTGGGACTAGATAGAGTGATAGGAATGTAAATACAATTGATCTTTAATGTTTTTATTGCATTATTTTGTTGTATTTTGAAAACTATTTAAATGCGCTTAATTGTGGAGTAAGAAATGCAAGAAAAAAAATAGAAAAGAAAAACAAAACAAGACTGAAGATATCAGAAGTGAGAACCTGATTTCTGGAGAGACCTGTCTGTTTAGCCAACATTAGCTTGTCTGTATCAGTTGGATAACTGCAACAAAAGATACACACACCAATTATTTTTCTCACAACATATACATAATTACATTTACAAAACGACATATCCATGTCCGAGAAACAAACAAGCATTCGAAATGTCCCATCCAAAACATACTTCCAAGTTATTATACACTTATATAAATACATACATACACATATAGCTATGTTCACAAGCGTATAAATAAGTGGTGCATGTCCTCCTGACACATTAATATCAAAAATGAGATATGATGTAGACATACAAATATTGGACTTTGCTCATGTCAAGTTACAAACTAAATTCAATGAAATCGATTGATGGTCTGATCGAATTGACATGGTTAACACATAGCACAGTATTTAGAGCTAAGCTCAAACTCAAATCAATTGCTTTCAAAACCATAAATAATATACATGGCTAAAATCATAAATACTTACGGATGCAAAAAGTGATCAAAGAGCCAAGCCCTTAGCACAGTGACTGCACGTTCGGGTAAGCCCCGGTGCGGTCTCCAGACAGGAGCATGGTTGTCAGGAAATCCATGTCTTTGACCAGCAGAACATAAACCTCTACTACCATCACTTCCTCCAAATCGCATAGACTCGGTTCTATTCTCAGAATTCATCAGATGACCAGATTGTTGTTGTATCTTGTTATTTGTGCTAAACTGTAGCTGCTCCGTTATAGCATTCTTCAAACACTTGAAATGCCTTGACAATGCCTTTAAGGTTAAACTCGCGTAAGGAGCTGCATGCCCGAGACCTGCTACGCATTCGAATGAGCCCATCACAGCTTGAAGCTGCTCATAGTATTGCTTATACCTCTTGTAAACCTTGTAAAACGTCATGAGGAAATTGTCTTTAGATTCGAAACCATTATATTTTCTAAATATGTAAATTATAGCCTCCAATCTCATACACTATCCTCACTTTAAAAATATGTTAATATACCTTGGAATAAACTAATTAAAATCTTTAAACCCCTATCTTTAAGTTCACATAACAATCTCGTGCATATATTCCTTTTCATAAAGAAGAAATTCTCTTTTTATCACTCTTAACTTATATCCCTAAGATTTGAAGAATCTAATTCACAAATTTAGAACAAGGAAGCTCTATATAAAGCTACTTCCCCCAAGATAATATTATTATTATTTTGAGCTTAACCTTAAAATTCTATTAAACGTAACAATTACAAATAAGGAAGAGGAAGGCAAACCTTCTTTATGATCATGTCATAATATGGACTTAAGTATAAGATTTTTTCTATTCATGCAACACGTAGGAAACGTTAGTTAAAATAACACATCCTCGTAATGAATGAGATAAAATATATTAAAAGCTAGATAGATTTTTTTAAATGGCCTTCAAGGAGTTTCATTTTCCAAGAAGATCTTTTTAGGAGACCTAACATTTATCACATATTGTCTCCAGTTACGAAGGACACCGTGCAGAAACTGAACATTCAACACAATAATACACATAGGTGTAGTAGGTTTAAGACAATAGTAATTGGCGAATTTACAGGTTTTATATGGTTCTTCGTAAGGAAAATAAAAAATAAAAATTGTATGATTAGTTAAGTATACCTCGTCCAGCATGGAAATGAGTTTAGATTTGTTCTTCATATATTCTCCTCCGCCGGGGTCAGAAACGCCGCAGAGATTCTCAACCGTCGGATCAAAGAGAAAAGAAGAATCGTCACCGTCGATGGTTTTGTCGGTGTAAAGCCCATGACCCACATTACAGAACTCATCAAGAAGTATCTGTGCTGGTTTCAAGAACCTCGATCCTTTCAGTATCGATGCGTAGCCAGTGAACGGTCCGAGAGGACCTGAGCTTCTCGACGCGACGGTGACGGCGCCAGCGGCTGCTTCTGCTGCGGATCTACCGTATCCAGAGTTAACAACGCCGGGAACGACTAGATCGTAAGCGAGTCTAGGGTGAGACGACAAAGACAGAGATAAGGGCTCGGGTTTGAAGACAAGAACGTCACCGGAAGAAAGACCGTCGTGAAATGAATGATCTCCGGCGACGGCAACTGCGGTGGATGAAGAGGAAGATGGACCACCAAGAAATCCCATGAAATTACTGTAGCTAGGGTTGGATATGTGGTTGCTGTTGTTGTGGGAGTGAAATCCACCGGCGGCGAGATAATCAGAGTCTGAGAGAGGATATACGCCGCCACCACCAGAAGAGGAAGAAGGAGGAGGAGGGTGGTGAAAGTGGAAGTGGGAATCAAGAGAAGGAATCCGAAGTTTATCACGCCGGCTTTGTTGGAGGACATGGTAAGGCTCGTAAGCATTGGCCATGGAAAAGTTGAGTTCTAGATGCAGAAGAAAAGAGAGAAGATAGTAACAGTGTAAGAGATAATGGTGAAACGAGAGGTTAAGAGAGAGAGAGAGGCTTCTTTTGCTTTCTTTTCGAAGCACCATCAAGTAGGTATGTATATCATCATATATTATTTTGTCTGAAAACAAAATAAAATATCTATGTTCTTATTATAGACCTCTTATGTTTATTGCGGAATAATTTATTTAGCATTACAGTTTTTGGTCAAAGGAACATCCATATGGTGTTTGCTACCTGCTAGTTAATGTGCTCTCTCATAGGTATTCCATAGAACAATGAAGAAGTGACATGATTCTGCATATTTTTACTATAGTTACTTTGCATGATATTTATGCTAATTCTGTATATCGATTTGTATATCTAGGTTACAAATTGTTTAACCGTCTTATAACGGTTAGACATCACAACTTCCATCTATATTTTACGGTTAGACATCATAAGTTCATAACCCATCAGAACGTAAACCCTGAATACAAATAACAAATACAAATTATCTTTGACCGTGGTACTAATTAGTTGCATAGTATACCATTGCGGTAGCATGTTGCAATTTGTTGCGTTCTATTCGGCTCTTACTATAACATTTTTTTTGGATCAAATCTTACTATAACATTTCATTTGCACAAATACACTTAACTTTTGGGTGCAACAGTTACAATACACATTAACTTGCATCTATTTCACCGCATCCATATAAGATGCCGAGTTGTATTATGCAAAACAGCTAGAGTAGTGTATCTGTATAGATGATGTAAAGTTATACAAACTGAAAAGTGAAAAGTCCCGGGTTTGGTGGGAGAGGCTGTATGGGAAATCGAGAGAAGATGACCGGCTATAACCGGTGACAGTCGAACAGGTTCTTTGTACAAACTGTTCTTGTCTCAGTCTTTCACATACTTTCTGACATTTCTACTACTTTTTAAGTCTTCTTTTTGTCGTTTTTCTTCTTTTCTTTTGCTGGAATAAATACCTTTCTACACCATAAATGTTAATCATACTAATCGCTCTAGTACTCGTGGATTATGTATCATGCTAAAAATCCTATCCTAAAAATCTGTATTAATCATGTCTTTAAATCATGATTAACTCTAATTTTTTAACTAGCATTTTTTAGTTTCGGAAAAAGATAATTCATAACTTTTTTTAGTTAAATAAGAAAAATAAAAAATAATCTTTAGATAATAAATTTAAGAACTATTTCTTATCCAAAAAATGTAAAAATAATATCAAATTATAAATTAAGAATCCACCTAAAACCAAATTAATCATGTCCTTAAGTAAATTATATTAACATATACAACAAATAAGTTATTAAATATTAACGCGATCACAGAGTTAAAATATCTAAGAATCTGTTTTAAGGGGTACAAATTTATATGTTCTTAAACTCTATTTCATATTTTTGCATTTTCATTTATTTATTATTGTTGAAGAAATAATTTGTTTCCAAATAAATATCGTTATATGATTTTAAGATAAAATTTATTAATTTTATCTGTCATTTTATTTTTTATTGCATGTGGTTATGTTTATGAATAATAATATTTTTATATATAAAATATACAAATTAATGGTGTTTAATATGTGTATAAAATTTTAAAATGACAAGTAAAATAAAATGGATAGCATTGGCGAATCCAAGTGAGCCAAGAAGGTGGCATTTGCCCCCATGAATTTTTAATTTTTTTTGTAAAATAGACTAACTTGAATTATTTTTCCCTAGTAAAACTTGTGTTCTAGCTTTATTTTCGTATATATGTATGATTTGCCCCCTCTAAATGTTCGTTCTACATTCGCCACTGATGGATAGAGTATTTTATTGACATATTGTTCCTATTTTATGACAAACTATGCTGAATATAAAAAATAGATAATGACCATAATTACTAAGTATAGTTCTGTTGTTCAAAGGAATATCAATTATTATTTATGTGTTTAGAGTTTTTTGAGCGACTAAAACCCTCCGTGAATTATATTTGAAGTCCAACACCTATACGTATGAGTTAGCAAAACTTATATTCTAAGATCTGCCAGGATCAAATGATTTTAAACGTAAAAGTAAGTTCTACTGTATTGTAATAATCGTGTTGACATAATCATTAGATGATTTTTCGTTTGCATGGGAAATAATGCGACGTAAAGCATTCGAAAATGTGTTTCGAACATTAAGCAAGTGTTTTCTTTCCTGTTACATTTATTTATATATAAAAGTATTTCCTCTTTTGGCTAATTTGGACCACAAAATAGAAAAGAACCAAAGCACTCCATTAAAGTATTACAGTTTAAAGCGCACGTAATTATTAGTTTTGCCTTTCACTTTTAACATTACATCACGGATTTACACACATATATACATTGGCTGAATAAAATGAAATTTAACAATCCTATTTTATTAATTAGCTCTCTGTAGCTGACAAACAAGTAGCGCTGTATATACTATGAATGTTTTGCGACTCTGATAGTAGCATACCCATAACCGTTGAGTTATTCACTCCCTAGTAATGTATGAACATTTAAAACCTATTTTGTATGAAAGTTCAAAAGGATAAAACATAATAATGAGTTAATGGCTTGGTTGGTCATAATGAAAGAACATCCCAACCACAAGAACTATTGAAATTTAACTTAATAAAAGCTTTTGGACAAAAGTAGAACCCACCGACGCGCTTTATTCCACTATGGTAAAATAAAGCAGTCGAACTCGTAATGCCCTGAGATGTAAGAGTCATGCTTCAACTGTTGCTTCCATGGCAATGATACTGAAATTTCTTCATTAGGAAATGAAAAAGATTTTAAGGTAATTTTGATGATTTGATGCTGAAGTAATAAACGTTACGCGAGCACGGTAATTTGGATAAAAATGTATAATAAACGTTACCTTGTTGTTTTGATTGGAGTCATTTAGCATAAACATCATTTGCACGATTTGATTTATTACACAAATCTGCATGATTGTGATTTTGGTAAGAGGTTACGTACATCGTAAATCTATTGGGTAGGAGAAAACAAACTTTTTGTGAATCTAGAGTGACTGTTCACAATTTAGCAGGAGTTAATTAAAGTATCCAGAGACTGTTCAACTGCAAAGACTCAAGTTCTGATAAATGTCAAATGTGATTCTCCAGTGACGTCGTCATGCTAACGTCGTTTAGATTTTATTACGTTGATTTTCTCTGCACAAATCTTTTGCTTAGTGAGTGAGAATCCACCGAGTTTGCCGTCATTTGATGTAACGCCGTTTCTCGTTCTTCATAAAACTCCGTACATTTTCGTTCAGGAATTGATATCTACTCATCTGCTATTCACTTGCGAGTGCACTCCACGCACTACAGTATTTCTTTTTGTCGTCCACGCAGCATTACAATACAAGTGTTATTAAATGACTAATCCTTGACAGAAAAAACAAGACTAATCTTAACATTTTTGAAAAAATTGTTGCAATTAGAAAAATGTAGAATAACTATCCTTACAACACCTACCATACGGTGTTACACATCAAAATACGAAAGGAATATGAAAATAGAAATCATATTTCATGGTACCAATACCATATTTTCGCACATTGAAAAATAATTCGCACATTAAAGTAAAAATCACATCAGTCACTCGATGCTTTTTGAAAAAAAAATTGAACCAATATATACATACATATAATTATAATTCCTAAATCAAATTAATTAGATTTAATAAATGGTCATATCATCAAAAATGACAAATCCACACCACATGTCGACGACTATATTATGTTATGTTCCATCAAATCGAACTTGGTACTATGTGAAAACTGAAAAGCTTTACTGATTGTATCGTTTTGTAAATTCTTTCTCGTGTAGATAATGAAGTAAAGAAACTACAAACAAAGACATAATGCGAATAAATGAAAAGACTAACTACATATTGCACGACTAATCACACGAGTAAGATTGTAATAATAAATTGATAAAGACGCCTTACACATACATCATGGAAGCCCTCTACAAGACTGATTATAAACCCTACTTCGGTTAAATTTATGTTAACATGATCATAATGTCGAATTTTTCTAGTTGTTGTCGATTATATGGCGTAAAAGAATTTTGAAAGGTTATTTGCGCCTAATAAATTTTATAGTTTTACAATGTTTTTAGAAGTTGCAGGAATTCATTATATATTCCGATAAGAAATTAAATACACAGTAGTAGTTAAGCCAATGTAAAATATTTTCTCTGATAAGATGTTAAGATGGTGTATTTGGTATTAATCTTTATCCCGAGGAAACAAAAAAAGTTATGAATTTAATTTTTTTTAATATTAGGTTTATAGAATAGGGTCCACGAGGAAGTAGTACAGAGAATACTGTGATGATGTCACCTGTTCGGTTGCGTGACTCCTGGGCGCTGTATCTGTATTACGCTACTATCTCTTCCATACCCTTTTCACTTCGTAAATTTATTTATTTATGATTTTTTTGTTGATAGACTGGTTTATGCTATTTTAGTATTTTTCCAAAATCTATACGAAAAATTACACAATGGATTATTCTTAAATTGGATAGATATATATTTTATTCAGCTAAAATGTTTGTCATAGCACCGGGGTCTAGCAGAGTAGCAGTAGAGTAGTATCCTGCCACGGTACAGATCCGAGTGCAACTGTTTTTTTCTCCTTATTTTAAAACCTTCGCAAGCCCATTTATTGTTTGAGCCATTAGGCTGTACTACGTAAGGAGCCCAATATAATTCTGCATAGACCACTTTGTCTATGTTACTATATGATGGACCTGTGTTTTAGATATACTTGAATTCGACAAAAGCAAGTAGGCCTTAGACAGTTAGCCTGGGCTTGTGCATGTATAATCTCTTTTACTTCTCCCATGCATATTTAGAAGAAAAAAATGAAGTTGAAGGAAAGGCAAGTAGGTTGATTTACAAACTGATTCGTTCACATCTTGGAGAAAACTTTATGGTTTTAAAAGCAAAACGAAGCTGGGAAAAGATGACAAAGTGATTCGCGTTTAATGTAACGTCTCATTCATTGCAATGAGATATTTAGAGAGGTCAAGCTCAATGTCGCAGCCGACAATATGAAAGAGATAAGGTCTTGTAGAAGTATACGATAAGGATTTTTTGTTCTTTTTTAACTGTCACGTGAAACTGATATCTCAAGAGAGCGAATGAGAAGACGTGGAAGAGTCACCCAGCGAGCTTTGACTCGTCGTCCTTACGAGGGTTCGTTAATTATCCATAGTGGATAGTATTCTTGTTTGTTTATGTAGTTACTCGTAGCAAGTGGCGGCAACTACCGACCTAAGATAAGACTGGGCCTACTTTCTATTCGATTGCCATGTGTCGACCGTTCTATTAGACACCTCAAGTGGGAGTTGTATGTTAGTAACAAGATAACGGTAATTGATATTGATACAATATTCTTAGAAAATAACTTTGTATTATACTATGATATGAAATAAATATTCCAACTAACTACCGACGTTACGTTACGTTTCCTTTCTTTTTTCTTTTCTTCGGTAGTAATGTATGTCAGCAATATAACCTTCCCCAGCTGATTAGTCGCTGTAAATTGCTATCGATGTTGTTACGTGGGAATCGATTGTATCAGATGTCGAATTATTATTGGCTCATCCTAATGAATTATCCAGATTACCACTTAGATTTAAAAGATCAAAGTTCTTAGCTCTCTCACAAAGCAAACTATTACACATCTGATACAATTGATTACTTTAGAGAAACTATAATAAAGCAAACTAATACACATCTAAGTATAAATTATTGAACAAAAGTAATTTTCTCTATAACATCAAAAGTCATTCTATTGGTCAAACATGAGAACAAAAAGAAGTCAAATCAGTAAAAACAGTGATATAAATAGATGGTACATCATATATGGAAAAAATAAACATTATGGCGAAAAATGAGAGTTTATTTATAATTATGATTGGTCAGAGAAAACACAAGTAAAGATATCATTACAATAAAATAGTATCTGAAAATTAATAGCAAAATCAAAATATACTTTTGATATTTTCTAACTATTTCAAAGTTTTTTTTTGCAGTCACCTTTCCTTATGTTGGTACTGCTAAGGTTTTATTGCCATAATTAGCATATGTATTTTTAGTATTTTGCTGAATAAAACTAGAATATAAATACATTAAATATATCAGTTACACTCATAATTCGAGAGATTGTAATTTTACTACAAATTTATACTACTTTTAAACTTACTTTAAAATGATGACATTTTTATAAATACCGTAAATTTGTGAGGAATAAACTAATACAAACTCTCGTAAATCATTTATAAAAGTTTACAAAACGAAGTCTATTTTAAAAATTTAGAACTCTAAACGATAATTATTAAACACTAAATGTTATAATATTTTTGAAGTAGTAATAAATTTATGGTATCTTAAACCATCTCTACAATTTTAATTGCTAATTAAAACATGGAAAACAACTATTTGATATAAGAGATTTTATTGAACTAAAAGAAAAACGATTATAATAATAAAAAAAAGGGAGGTGTAAATAAGTCGGGATCCTTACTTATAATGGTATAAATACATGAAACTACCCACCGTTTTCCTTCCCCTCTTCTCTCGCAAAATCTGCAAACTCTTTTAACTTCACACATTCATTCATTTATACACGTCTCTCATACTTGTCTCCATACATAGAATAGAATACAGAGAGAGAGAGAGAGAATTGTGGGTTTTAGCTTAAAAAGTGGACAAAAAAATGGAAGGAAGGAAGAAGAGCGCTTCGTCTTCTTCTCCATCGTTAACCTCTGAGCTTTTTGGTTCCAGAGATAATCCTTCTTCTTCTTCTTCGGGGGTTCTCGGATCCATTTTTCCTCCTCCTTCTAAGGTCAGATTCAATTCTTCTTAAGCTTCCATTTTTACAATTCTGTTTCTAATTCGATTAATTGCTGAAGATTTCCAATTTCGTTGAGAATCGATTTGGGATTTAACGAATTTTAGGGTTTTCGAATTAATCTGATTTGATCATAGCGGAATTGATTTGATCTTTTCCTTGGCATTCATAGTTTTTTTTTTTGGGTCCTCTGTTTGCCAAAAAAAAGGGGCTTAATTTTGAAAAGGGAGATTTTTTTTTCTTTTAAAAAGAAGAAGACCCCACAACCTCAAAATTAAGAAAAAGAACACAGAGGAAGAAGAGTTTTCATGTTGGTTGGCTTGGATCACAAGTTTCTCTTATCCAAATTATTCTGCTCATATTTTTGAAAATTGATGGGTGGCTTTGTTCTTGTTTCATAAGGTTATGCGACAAGAGACTGTGACTGGTGGTGCCTGGAACGACAAATCCTCCAAGACTGGTAATCCTTCAACATGATCCATCTTTCAGACAAGACTTTGTTCTTGCTCTCTTTTTTTTTTAATATAATGGATTTTTTTTGGAAATGTTTATGTGCAGGTGATGTTGACAGAAACAAAGAAGAGTTTGGTTCAGTTTATCATCAGGAACAACAAGAGAGAGTTCAACCTTGTCATCTGAGCTCTTCCATCTATTACGGTGGCCCTGATGTTTATATCCAGCCTTCTCAGAATTCCAACTCTACTGTAATACAAACTTCTTCTATATTGACTTCATCTGTCGTTACAAAAAGCTACAACTTGATATTGTAAATTAACTAGTCTTGTGCCCTTTTTGGTGAGGTTTTATATCGTGCTTGGCTATTGGTTATTGTCTGTCTCAAGAAAAAATTGTATGACCTAGCTATAAGGATCTTAGTTAGGACTAAACATATAGCTCTCGTTCTTTGATTGTTGTCTCTAGAGTTGACTCCCCCGGGAAAAAGCTGGAAAACTTTTTAAAAAAGCAGTTTATGTAAAGTTGGTTTTGTGGAAGTTTTTGATTTTGATGAGTTTCAGGACCTAAGTTACCGCGCTTGTTCAGAGATTATTGTCTCTAAAAAATCATTCTGAACTGTTGGGTTTGGGTTTTCCATTGCAGAAGAAGAAAGAGGGAGGAGAAGATGATTCCGGAAGTGCTTCAAGAGGAAATTGGTGGCAAGGTATCCGATTCTCATCTTTTATCGTTTTTTTTTGTGAGTAAGTAAATCTCGTTACAATATATCTAACTGCACTTGAAAACCTTTGCAACTTACAGGGTCTCTGTATTACTAAGTAGAGATACCTGCTACTTAAGCCAGCCAGTGTTATACTACAAAAAGCAAGGTACTGTTATCCATTTTGAACAATTCTACTCTGGTTCTAAGACAGAAAAAATCTGATGTTGCTTTGGTTCGGTCTTGGATTTCGCAGGTATATATAGGAAGAAAAAAAAAATAGAGTAGCAATGGTTCAGTTGGTATTAGTAAAACTTCTCATCTTATTATTACAAACAAGCATGAAGAAGTTTGAAGGGTAGATGCAAAGACCAGGAAAGCTTGTCTGGGGTTATTGTGATTAACCCGACCGGTTCAGATTTAACTTTCCGCAGTGTATGGATAAAACAATGGGATGGTTTTGTAAGAAAAACTATAGTAATAAGTTTCAAGTTTCCACGCATATAAATAAATCTGTTGGTTCTAGTTTCATTGAAGGAAACAGTTGTTATTTTGCTATGTACTTGGAATGATAGTGTAGTTGGTCTGGTTATCATCGGAGTTTGTGATTGCTATAAAGTTTAAAAGGTAGCTGTTTTTCAGTTACTATTAGATGTGGTTACCTATGCCTCTGATTTTGAGAACAATGTTGAGATTCTGCCTTTTGTCATAGTTCTTGATTCTCTTGAGACTTTCATACAATGTTGAGATCCACTTCCCGACTTCATAACTCATTGTATTTACTTGGGTTCAGTCGTACTAAATGAAAATTTGACTTAAAGACTCCTTTTCTGTAACTCTCAAACACCCATCTTTCCAAATATCATTATACAAATCTAAGCTACTACACACAACACAAAGAAAGAAAGGGAACACTAAGGAGAAAGTAATAATAAAAAAGGATCCAAAGGGAGAGACTATTCCAAGGAGTAGAGAGCATTTTTATTTTCAAATCCCAGGATCAAGGTTCGATACATTCAACGTCTCCTTCATGCATTTCTCTAGAGACAATCTCTCACTCGACGATGAACGGCTCGATCTTTCCACCTGGAGATCCTTCAGTCTTGGTTCGTTCTTTGTTACATAAGCCGTCAAAACCCTTTTAACGCTACTACTGTGAGGAATCTTGAACCGTGAAGGAGAAGGCGGCACTGTGACTGATGTTCCCAGCTCCAGTTTTGCAGGAGAGTAGCTTGGTGTTGTGTAGGTTGTAGCAGACGACAATGCATTGTTCTTAACAGCGTCACTACCGTTGTTACCTAACGTTGTTGGTATCTGATCCGATGAGTGTCTTGTCAGATCATCAACAAAAAGCAAGTCATCGATCCGTGCAACAATGTTAAACGCTAAGCTCTCTAGAACTCTCGAGTAGCTTTCCAGAATCGATTTTCCTATGTCCTAAAAAAACAAGAACAAGATGGAAAACTGTTTAGCACAAAACAACAGAGAGATTGGTGGGGATCTCTATAGAGAGAAACCTACCTTGTTATATTGGATTTTGCTCATGTCTAGAGCGGTTTGAGGGAGACCCGGGAACCGTTGTTTTAATGAAAGCAACAGACTCTCAGCTCGATCAGCCATCAACTCTAGCTTCTCTCCATCAACCATTAACTCTTTCACCATCTCCCACGACGTTTTGGTATTAGTAGCTGGTTTAGTATTATTAGCTCTTTTGTGCCACAGGTAGATGGATGACTCGACTCGGTTAGCTATCTCTATGGCTTGGTGTTCAGAGGACAAGTCAAGGCAATCAAGTAGATATTCAGGTGAGAACTGATCTGACGAAATGTATCTGTAGATCAAATCACCCAGGCAGGATCTTCCTCTCTGAAACATTTAACAAAAAATGCAATTTACAGTTTTTTCATTGTTAGAGATACAAGCTGAATATATTTGTATATTATTATTACCCGTGGAAGAGATTCGAGATATGATTCAGGGATGTCCATGTCGGCAAGAGTGATGCTGTTGATGGCCATAGCAGCTTTTAGTATCTGATTAGTGCAGTCGCGTTTATGCTGCAACTGTTTCCTTGACTTGTCTTGCAATCCTCCAGGTGAAACCCGTGGAACCGGTAGCCACCATTTGTCTTCTTGTCTCTGAAAAGATTTTCGGAAAGAAGAAGATCCGTCTTCGGCTGCTGACTCGTGTGCCATGATTCCTTGATCGACATACCAAAACTCTGTCTCCTCAAAGCTATCTAATATCTCCTGCAAAAGATGGAAGGAGAGAAGAGGATGAGGGGTTTGCTACTCTAAAAGAGAAGCTAAGAGAGGTTCTTACGAGAAGCATGTTATCGAGTTTCTTGAGAGCTGGGAGGTTAACATAAAGATCTGATCTTGGTCTGCAAGTCATTATCTACAACAAAGGAACTAAAAAAGCTGAGCCACCGATAAACATATTCAATTCCGCTATATATGCATTGCATAATCTGTATACCTCGAGTTTGGTTCCATCAGGGAAAGTTTGCCAAGTAGGAGACATCTCAACAATGTGGTCACTGACACAGAGAAGCCATTCCATTTCTCGTCTCCACATGTCTTTCTTCTCCTTGGGAAGAGGCTCTAACCTCCATAGTTGGCCGAACAAGGTAGCTTTTTACAAAGCAAAACAGCTAATCAAGATCTGTTGTACGAAGTACATCCAAGGTAAGAAGAGTGGGTAATAGGACATAATACCACAGAGATTAGTGATGGCGTTAGAGATGGCTAAAGCAGTGCAGACACCGTTACCAGAACCAGACATATCTTCTCCAAGTAGTAGCTTCGAAAACCTTTCCTTCATCATCTCAATCTCTGCATATAGTCAAGAAACAGCATTGATTAAAAAAAAAAGCTAAGAACTTTAAAGAGTGAAAGTGTGAGTGAGTGAGTGAGTGAGTGAGTGAGTGAGGAATAAAAGCAAACAGTTGGTGGGTGCATTTGGACGAACCTGAAACTCTTGATTGTTTCGCACAGTTCTTCTCGTCTCCGTCGACATTCTTCACCGACCAACGAGACGAAACCGGAGAAGCGGTGAACTCCTGCGTACTGATGCTAGGGCTTTGTTCCTCGTCTTGTCTGGTTGTTCCCGAAATCAGTAGAAAATCAGAGCTGCTGCAGCAACTGCTCTCTCTTCCTTTCTCTTCTACCTCTCCCATCTCCATTCTCAACTTTTCCGGCGAAGAACCCATTTCTACTACGCCGGTCTCTCTCTCTCTCTCTTTCTTCAACACACGAACACGTGAACCCAAACGCTCACCTCACACTCACTCTCTCGCTGAATATTCTCGTGCTTGAATCGCATTACATTAATTATCCCCACGCTTTTCTTCTCTTCAATCTGATTCTGGAGGAAAACTATTATCTTGTGAGTGACGACGAGACTCTCTTCTCTTGCTCTCTCCTCCTCCTCCTCTTCCTCGATCTCTGCATCTTCAGCTTAAGTTTTTAAAACACCAACTTTATCTCTCTTACATTATTTTAATCTTCCTCCTTAATTGTAAACTAATCCAAATCAATGACGACAACATTTTAATTCAATCAATTTTCTTTTCTTTATTATGGGAATCGTGTGGTTGACGGATCCACCTTCGATGTCCCTCCACTTTTGTTTTATTATTTTCAGTTATTTACTAGAGTTTGACCCGTGCTTTTTGAAGCGCGGGTATTCTATATTTTTCAAATAAAATATAATTTACATGTGTATGTTTCGATCGCATTTGTGGATCATATTTGAGTATATTTGATTGTAATGCGGAGTATAGTTAGTTATACTTCTTTAGAGGGCAGATATATTTTATAATTTCATTTTTTTATAAATTTCATTTTTACATTTGTGTTTTGTGTAGTCATATATGTATTTTTTGTAATCATATTTATGTTAAATATCTTTTTTAATGATTGGTAGTATTTTGACAATTGTATATAATTTGTGATGCTGCATAACTATACACTCGTGTCTAGTAAGCGGGTCAAACCCGTCTCGCTCGACCCTTTCTGCAGCGGGTTGATTCATTTTCTAACTAAATTTTTTAACATTTTTCAACTGCAAAGAAAATATATTTATTTGAACTCACTTCACTTAAATTTACAGAGAACCCGCAGGACCCGCAGATAATTATTAAATAATACAAATAATTAGTTTTTAAAAAATAATATGATTAATATATTTTTAATTAAATTTTTCTTTTTTTGTATATTTTAATTCATTTGACCTAAATTTATTATATTTAAAAAATAAACCTTTGTGAGGAAATTGTTTTTTTTCTATCTTTGCAGATTAGCGAGTATCCGCGATACAAAATAAGATAATGAATTTTTGAAATTTTTTGTAAATATATGGTTCCACCAAAATTATTAATTAATTTTTTATAAGTATATACATTTTACATAATTAGAAAGAAACCATCATATTGTTTGTTTACATTCATAATGGAATTATCTATATATTTGTTAACACTATATATTTTGATGAGATTTAGTAATATGTTTCTTATTTTATATAAAAATATAAAAATACTTGTCTCAGGAAGAAGATCTTCCGTAAGTGGATTGCCATATTACACATGTTCTTTTGTAAACTTCCTTGTCTTAGGATGAGTCTTTAAAGTTAAAGAGGAAGAAGACCTGCCGTAAGTGGATTGTCATATTACACCTGTTCTTTTGTAAACTTCCTTGTCTCAGGATGAGTCTTTGAAGTTTTAAACATATAGGTTCTGAGTTTTGTCTTTGTTGTATTTGTGTGCAAGAGTGAAAACCATCATATTTTGTTTACTCCGTAATTAGCAATGAGGAAAATGGTGGTCAAGTGGCTTAACACCGAATGATTGCAAAACTCCTCCTTCATAAAATTATAAACATACAAATACAAACGGACTTACCGACTACAACATGTTATATGCATTCTTATACACAATCATTCCAAAAGATTATAAAATAAAATCACACAAGTAAGAAATTTCATTAAGCAATTAGAATTTAGATGTGGGACTTACAGTTTGGTAAGAAATTATCTTTACCGATATCTTGAACCAGAGCTCTGTCCTTGAGTTCTTGTAGATGGAATATTATTGCTGGTTTTGCGATACTTTGCCAATTCATGTTAGCATGAGAAAGAAGCTTCTGAGCGTTTTCCACCCTCTTGGTATAATCAGTGTCAGCAAGTTTAAATGACACTGTATCTTGTTCCATAGAAAATTCAAAATGTTAGATCAAATCATTGAGTTCTTATCCATGTTCTTGGGTTTATGGCCACACGTGTAAGTATTATGCTTACCTTTTTTGTCTGTGGAGCACGTTGGTTACTGGCTTGTGCTTCACGGACTGTTCGTTCAAGATCAGCTAACCTCCTCAGCAAATTACTTTTGTCATTCTGAAAATGGAAGATAGAATTAGTGAGCTAAAAACACACACGTAACAATGGTTGTGGGATTAAAGGTGGAACAAACTCTTAAATTACCTTCAACATTTTGTTTTGCATAGAAAGCAACTGAGCTCGCTCTTGTAGTTGGTCCAAAGATATCTGTGTCGCAAGAACATCTGTATCCTTCTTGTTCAACTCTGACATGCAACTGTTAAGTAGGAACATCCCAAGAGAGCAAACCTTGGTAAGAATCTTTTTTGTTTAAAACGCTAAATCAATTTTCCTTTGAGTACTTCAAGAGAGAAAAATAAGCATATTGGGTAGTATGGTGGACGTCGAACATGGCTAACCTCTCTCTTTCCTTAGCAAGAGCATCAATATGTCTCTTTAGGTTGATGATTTCTTGGTCCTAAAATCGATAGAGAAAAAGAGACGTCAACAACAAAGATGATGATTAACTAAAGAAAGTGGATGCAATAAGCATATAGCATCATCACCTTGGACATGATCTCTTCAGCATGTTGCTTAGATTCTTTAATCACTCGTTGGACCTGGTGCTGGTCAATCAACTCCTGCAATATCCCAACGACGAAACCGATGTGTTTAGGAAAAATGCCTTTTAAAACTCTCTTGAAGATGATATATAATTTAAAATACTTACAGCATAGCTAGTTATATCCATTTTCACACCAAGTAAATCCCGAATAACATCATGAGTCATACTATCAGCTGCAGCTATCCTCGTGTTCAATGTGCAAACCTGTTACAGCATGAAAATATGTAAGAGGGATTCTATAAATCACTTCAGAAGAAAAGAAAGATTCTAATGCAGGTAGGCTGGACCTCCTTCTGTTTAGCAGCTAGCAATGACTCCAATTCTTCAACGCGAACCCTTGTCGTGGTCAATTCCTGATCCTTCTCCAATTTCATCTGTTGTACCAACCCAACTATACATCTAAAGGGTGAACTTGAACCTCTACTCCTTGTTGAGCTTTTCTCAGTTTTATGCGATATGGTGGTCTCTGCAGCTGACGAACTTGAATCCTCTGATTTGAAGTCTCGAATCATGGCATCCAGAGCCTTATACTGTTAACATTAGAGCCAATGAAACTATATGAGCTACAAATTAAGGAAAATTACACTCTCGTGTGCTAACAGAATTTATAGAAATCAACATCAATTTTATCAAATTTAGCCTCCAGATGCAGCACAATAGATAACAGAACTAACAATAATTTGTGACATGATGTTTTTAGTTAGAATGTCAACAGAGACGCAAATATGTGCAAAATATGCAGTATGGAAACTAATTATCCGCTGAAACTAAATGATTCATCAATGTAGCTTAGTGCTGAACTAAATGATTCAGCAAGGTAACTTAGTGGTAAGAACTGCTAAAGTCTACAACTCCAATACCTTCTCTTGGTATTTAGATGCTTGGGCCTCAGAATGCATCAAAATTTTGGAGATGTACTCTTTTAGCTGTTTAATCTGTAAGTGGGGAAAGAAAAAGGTAGAAGTAAGTGAAAAAATTAAAATTCATGAGAAAATTGAACTGAACAATCCAGTATATAACTCACCTCTTTGGTTTGCTCTGCTACTTCCTTCTTAAGGACTTGTATAGTTGTATAGTTTGCAGCTCTTTTGAGCTGTAGTTACCAATATCAGTATTCATCGAGAAATATCCACATTTAAAACTTAAATCTTGAGTAGGATTAGGATGGCTGACGTGAATAGTTGACTCTCATATTCGTCTCTGCCTTCAGTGCTTGTGACCACAGTGCCAGTGAGGTCTTCAAATCTAAACAATCTCTGCCTGAGAGCTTGGAGCTCTGTCTCTAATGTGCGATGCCTTTTAACTTCCTCATCCATATCATACACCTGGAAGCCAAGATAGGTCACAAATAAGTATAGGAACTAATACAACGGTCAAATAAGTATAATTAAAGAATGACAAATATAGAAAACTAACCCGTCTTTCTAACATATTTACAGTACGCTCAAGTTCGTCAACAGAAATTTCTAGAATCTTGACCTCCTCTTCCTTTTGTTCCGCATATATTTTACTCGCTTCAGATTCCTACATGAGACAAAGACTCCTGTTAATTTTGTCTGCGAATTTATAATACTTACCCTTTAACCACAAATATAGTTTTTATGTTCTTCTTTCTTAACACATTTTTAAGATAATGGCACCTGTTTTTGTAAAAAAAAATAAGTAAAAGAACAACCTTGACGCCTGAAACTGGAAGCCACATACTTGCAGTCCCTTCAGGTCACATAGTTGCACTTTTTTAATACATTTTTAATATAAAGGTACCAATCTTTGGAAATGCATCAATGAGCATCATCATCTCTTCCCTATTAAACCAGATAAGACGCAGATCCGTGGCCCATAGTCTGTAGGAAAAGAACCATAACAGACAGTAAAAACGTCAGAAAAATTCTATATTCGATTAAACAGGTTCATATCAAAAAACCAAGCTACTAATTAATTTTATTTGTCAAAAAGTAAGCATTATAAAGCTGGTAATTACCTTTGCAGTTTCTCGACAAATCACATAAATGATGTAGCGACCTCATCGATGCCTATAGAAGAGATTAGTTCAAAATTATCCATTAGATGAACACAACCATCAACACCCGAAATAAAAACCTCCTCGATGCCTATAGAAGAACTTACATTGAAACCTTATAGATCGAGATTCGCAATCACTTCAAACGAAGAAGCCGTAATTCTTCCTCTATACAAAACCACGGTTGAAAGTGATAAAATCAAACTAAATAGATGTCGTTCAGTATTTTTAGGGATTTAGGGTTTTTTTTTTTTTTTACAACTAAACAACCGTAAGATTTTGTCAATCTTTTAAAATCGGGTCAAACCCACTTTAATCGGGTAAAACCGATTGATACAAATCATAGCTTATAAAAAAATACAGTGGTATTGGGTTGTAATTACTGCTGAAAACCAAGGGTACCTGAAAAAAGGGTCTTGTGTTTTAATAGTATAGATTTCTCTTTCTAGTTTTTAGATTGTGATTTCTTAACAACTAAATATTATAATTACGTATTCTACAAGATTCTGCATTCTTTTATAAACCATATTTGATACTTTTAGAACAAAGTCGCATTCATCTAATGATACGTTCCTCTAACAACAATTTGTATCTACTTGTCACGCTTATTATTTCTACAACATACACGAATGTTGTTGGTGCCACTGTTTTAGTTTAGGCCTATTGGACCCGACTTCTTCAGTTGGACCTAACTCGACTCATTACAAAATTCCTTTATGGATTTATATTAGCGCTTCCCTTTTTTATTATACTTTGTCAATACCTTGATTTTTTTTTTTTTTGCAAGGGTCAGAATTTAAATAATTAAAAAGAGTTTACATTTTGAACTGAATTGTAATAGTGTTTCTTAACTATAAATCTATTTTTTCTGATCTTATTCATGTACTTTGACCTGATCATATTATTATATAACTGAAAAGATGAAAGGTAGGGTAAAAAGATAAATTTAAAAGCACTGCATCTGATTTGAAATTTTTTTGAATTCTAAAGTTTTCCAAATTTCCAAATTTTTTTCGTGAAGCATTCAATCCCATCCAATGAATGCGTCATCTCGTCAAGGTAATAAGTAGGTATGGAAGAAAACACATTTTTATACGTGAAAAACAACACGAGTGATAAAAATCCCATGTCAATGATTTGTTTCTAACGTTAAATATAAATTTTGATTTATATGTTTGTTTTAAATTAATTAATTTATCAAGTTTAATAAATGAATGGTGTAGGCGTAAATACTCTTCATAGTGACCACAACCTGGTCCAATCCTGAGTATAACAGTTGAAAGGGATGCTTTGTCTTTGGCTCAAACCTAACGAAAATCTCCGACGGTTTTTTCTTGTCTTTGCGTATATGTTACGATCGAGTGGTCACAACTATGCTTCTATACGATTTTTCAATGAAATTGTATTGCTTTTTATCTTCATAACTTTCGCTCTTTATCTGATAATTAAATATAGAAGGTTGTAAATTAACATGGACTTATGAAGATAGGTAAACGTTTACTTATGATTTAGATAAGTTGCAGTTCCATATCTTGTTCTTAATGTTTGCATAACTTTTATACTATGGGAAAATTGTACACAATAATATTTTTGGGTTAGTTTGTCACTTTTCTTTCTTTATATATATATTTTAATCAAATTTCATATATATAAGGTCTGACCGTACGTAGTTGAGATGTATTTAAAAAATATACACATTTATATAAAATTGAAGTACATATATATATTTTTTGTAACTGAGAAATACATATATATATATATATATATATATAAATTTCCTAGTAATGTAGTTAAATATTAGAAGTGTAGAGCATTTCAAACAACTAATGTTTTGTCTCTTTGTTCTCTATCACTTGTCGTATTCTACGTCGTTGTTTTCCTTGCCAAGCAACCCCCATTATAAGGAAAAGTTGGTCCACCATTTGTTTAACAAAAACGCTTCAACACGATGACAAGAGTAAATAAATGAATAGATCACACTTGAACAAATTAAAATATTATGAATTTGTGTGTCTATTTTCACATGAACTTTACATACTGCTAAAATGATAGTTAAATAATTAATTATTGGAGTTCAAGAAAGCCTAACAATATATAAAAGAACAATATTATTCATGCTTGCAAACATTTCATTTTTGATTTCTCCTTACGCTAGCTATATCATTATATCCTAACGAGAATGACTTTGGAATTACACTACCCAATATCCATAATTAGAGTTCTATAAAAAAATCTCATTTCCTTGAGCTACAAATTAAGTTATCTTTATATTTGTTTTTCTAATTTCCAGTTCTCACAAAAGGTTGTTTAAAGGTCCTTCAAATCTTCAAGATCAACGTAAATAAAATATATAATAGTCCATAGTTCAATCGGTGTATTTGTTAATCCATAAAATGTCTTCAAATTTCTTGTTTAATAGATTAGAGAAAAACAAGGACTGTATAAAGCTTTCCTCAGCGCATGGCGCTAGATTACTGGACCGAACCAAGCCAGCCAGTTGTTGTTTTCTATTCATTTGCTGTGTCGAAGAAACAAGCCAGTTAAGTTCTACTTCTTCATAATTGTATTTTGGGCTTTCGTTTTGCTACTTTTCAGTGGACTACCATCAATGGCCTTACTAATATGTCATAATAGGCATATAATGGGCCTAACGAAACTCACTTTCACAACGAAACCATGAATTTTTGTTTATCCTAGTAATGACAGAACTTTTACCAAATTCATTGATGTATATTACATACTATACCATCAAATTGAATATATAGCAAATGACATTTGAAACATGAAAGAAAAACGTAATCAGCTAGTATGCACGGATAATCTACTATATGTCACCTGCGCATGTCTAATATACACACACATACAAACAAAGCGTCAAAAACATTCGAACTGGTCCATGGTATAGCCAAGAAAAATAGTTAAAACCACTAGTTCCTATAAGACCAAGTGGTCCATGGTGTGACCAATCAAAACCGCTAAAACCACTGTTTCTTATAGGAACCGGTGGTCCACGATGCACCATGTACTTATATGCAGCTAAGCAAGGGGTTGTTGCCAGGAGATTCATTATATACAATAATACGTACTTAGAAAAAATCGTTGACGAGCCAATTGCAAAGATATTTGTTTCTAGTGTACAATGCAACCACTTGTAGATTTCAATCGTTTCAAAACGAAAAAAACTATTACAGATGTCAACCCGGACTACACTCGACTCTACAAAAATACTTGGAGAACTTGCTGAATGGTTTCCCTGTAATATGATTAATGAATTTGGAAAAAATTATCATAAAAAAATTGTTGTTATTTATTTTTTCAACATAAAGATAATGAGTGATCGTGCTTTAATTATATAGTTTATAGTTTATGACATTGTGTACGTTATATAAATAGAAATTGAACGTCGACCAAAAAGGATCTAAAATTGATTAAGATTTGATTTTACGAAAGGGAGTATGATTAAAAGTATATCAATCAATATTCTCTAACTTCTTAAGATGGAATCCAATTAATCCAAACATGTATTAGTCGTGATCATGGACCCTATTGAGTGTTCTTTGGGACTATATATAGCAAGTTCTTAATCGCGAGATTCATTGTGTAACCCATATTCTCTGTTAGTCTTGCAAGAACATACATTGGATATTATTGCTAATGTTAGTACAACTCATGTGTTCGTAGTCAAACTTAACATATGATATTTTATAGGAGTACAAGCAAGCTATCATGAAATGAGGAGAAAAGGAGAAGCAAAAAAGGGGTAAAGTGGAGTTCTTTTGCTTTTATTGAGATGATCACTGCTCTTTAGTAAAAAAAAAAAAAATAATAGGCTCCTCGTGCAGAAAACATGATTTGATATAAATAATGTTGAATATGATTTGATCATGTTGATGGTGGTGGTATACATGTGCAAAAATACAACAAAATGATTAATTAATCGAAGGTAAAACAAGAGTACATAAAGCTTGTAGGTAAGTGAAGCTTAACAACAATGTATAATTCATGATAATTAGTTAGCGTAATAAGGAAAATCATATTAACTAAAACACACACACAAATGTAGTATGATTTGTTTTTTTTGTTTGGTGGACAAAAAAGATGGCATAAGTTAGATAATAGGACAAAGATTATGAGTGTGACGTCAGAAGAGGAGTGGGACCCTTCCCGTTTTCGCTCTAATTCTGCTTTTGCTTGGGGATGCGAGACGAAGGAGAAACAAAACGGAAGTCGCGTAACGGGCCCTACCTACACACTAAAATTGCTGACCACACGATCGTTTTACCTCCCTCATTGAAATTAATCAGGACCGTACGATCCCTTTTAACGAAGCCATCTCTCTCTCTCTCTCTTGGTCTTTTTTGTTTTACTCAAAGCGGCGAGAACGAGATTCTCTGCAACTTTCGATCCCTTCCTCTCACTCTCTCTCTTGATCACAAACTTTTTATCGAGTTTCGTTGATTGAGCTTCGTAATCTTGATTTTCTGCAGCGTGTCGGGTTTGCTTCGACTTCACGTTGTTTTTTGTTCCCTCTTGTTTTTTTTTCCTTTGTGCTTTTCAGAGATATTTTTCTTTGGTTCTTCTTTCTTCCCCGACGATATCAGCAGCAGTGAAGTAACCACCATATATCTGAGTTTGATTTTTTTGATGAAACCGTGAAAAGCTGGTGGAGATACTCTATTAATGTGATGTGATGGTATGTTCTCTCTTTCTTTCCCCTGGAATTATGCTTAGGTGAAGAAGAAAGAAACACAAAGCATTCTTCTTTCATGCTTAGATTATATAAGTTACTCTGTCTAAGGTTTCTTGGGATGTTTTCTTCACAACCTTTTGCTTTATTAAGCAGTTGAGTTTGACTAAATGAACTAGTAGTGATCATTAAAAAAAAATAAAGTTTCATTCTTTTTTTCTATTTTTGTGTGTGTAGTATGAAATGGCAACAAGAAGCGATCTCAGAGGTTTGTTTAAACAGAGCCAAAAGAAGTCATCAGCAGATGCGATATCACCTTCAGCAGCTCAGACCAATGAGATAGGGAGACATAGTCGAAAGGAAAGTAGTGATGAGGTGGTGAAATACATGTCCAAGTTGCCAGGTTATCTCCAAGGAGATGATGAAAGCAATGGTGTTTTGAATGTTGGTGTCTTGGACTGGTCTCGTCTTGAGAAATGGAAGCATGGCCGCGCAAAAGGCGCTGATACAAAAGTGTCTTCCACTACTTTAGCTACACTCCCCAATGCCTCCTCTCATCAAGTGCATGCTTGTTCCAATCTCCGTAAAGTTAAAGCTTCCCGGGATCTTCATCATTCTGTTCACGGAGTTAGATGCACCTTGGAACCTGAGCTGGCTTCTTCTTCTTCTTCTAGGGACTGTTTAAATAAGCAGGAAATAGCAACTTGCAGCAATAAGTCCTCTGCTAGAGATCAAGAAAGAGTGAAAAATCCTGGCAAGAGCAGAATATCACGTTCTAATCGAGAACTAGCTTCATCAGGTCTATTGTCAACAATGGGAAACTCCGGGGGGTCGCTAGGCGCAAAGGGGAGCTTTGTGGCTCGGGAAAAGGAGACTGAGATGAGAGCAAGGAAGGCACATGCACAAGAAGCTAGAGAAAGAGCCACTGAAAGCTTGAAACAATGTACTGAGAAGTTAGATGGAGAGGAGAAGATCGTTAGAGATTTAGATGCTGGTCTCACTTCTCAAAATCATCAGGTCAGTAACATTATTCTCCTGCGATCAAGAAAACAGTCCCCAAGCACCCTCTCTAGTGAACCCCACATGGATGATAACCCCAAAGTAGCAAGGGAGGTTAACCGCTCTCTGGACTTTAGCTCCTTAGGGTTGAGATCTCAAGTCCCTCGTTCCTGTCCACTCTCTTTCGACTTAGAGATAGATTCTGAAGATATGAAGTTGCCTCTTCTTGGTGTTGCTAAAAAGGAACGTTCTGGTGGGACAACAAGGCACTCAAAGACGGCCTCAAGCATGTTTGATCAAGAAATTCGACAGTTAAAGAACATAGAACCTTCACCAAGCAAGCGGTTTAGTTTTAGCTTCGGTCGTCTCAGCAGAAGTTTCACCTTCAAAGAGGATTCATCATCAGCTGCTCAACCTTTGACTTCTTCTTCTGATGATACCATTAAATCTGACTTGTTTGATAGTTCAGCTTGTCCATCTCAGTCAAGTAATCCGGAGAAGCAGAACAATCACGGTGGATCTAGAGTTAGCCCTCTAATAAGGCTTCTTGACCCTTTACTGAAACACAAAGTCTCTGAGAATGTCCTTCCATCAGAAGCAAGATCAAGTTCTTTCAATCAAGATGAAAAGAAGAAGCAGGATGCATCAAGAACACAAGCTCTTTTACAGCTAACGATCAGAAACGGCATCCCTCTATTTCAGTTTGTGGTGGATGATGATAACCTCAAGAGCAGGAGGAGCATCCTAGGGGCAACAATGAAAAGCTCTGATTCATCAGTCAAAGATGACTCTGTACAGTACTGCACATTCTACTCTGTTAATGAAGCCAAAAAGAAAAAAAGCGGAAGCTGGCTGATCCATGGACATAAAGAGAAGCAACAACACAGGTTCGTCTACAATGTAATCGGTGAAATGCGGCTATGCAACACAGATAACGTATCTTCAGTGATCAGAGAATCAGTTCTAGTTGATGAATCAGAGCAAGTATTACAAGAGGTTGCAGCAGTAGTGATCAAGAAGAAGCCTGCCGAAGAAACCACAGTGATACTTACAGGTGGTGATCACAGTATCCCGGAGAAAGGAGCACCGACACCGTTGATTAGCAGGTGGAGATCGGGAGGGTGTTGCGACTGCGGTGGCTGGGATGTCGGATGTAAACTACATGTTCTCTCCAGCAAAACATTCCTCCATGATTTGGACCAAACCTTCCAACTTTTCTATCAGGATGTAAGTAAATGATAAGTAGAGAAGATAGTCCTTCCTGCAAAATCTATTTGAGATATATATATATATATATAAAATCATCTCTGGTTTGACATTTGCAGGAAGAAAGTGATAAAAACTCAGGTCCGGTCTTGGCGATGACAGAGGTGAAGACAGGGATATACAGCGTGGAGTTTGGTTCGTTTCTTTCGCACCTACAAGCTTTTTTTGTGTGTGTGACGGTGATAACGTGTGCCTCAGAGGAGGAAACGGTGTCAAAGACTACCGGAAAATCTTCCTCGCCGTTTGCTCCGCCTCTATCTCCTGTTGGTAGAGCCTAAATACCCCCACAAACTCGGGGACATAGAGAAAGAGAGAGTGTGTGTATATAATGCTTGTCTTTCTTTAGGACAGAGAGAATGTATGCCTTATTGTCCGGTCGATACTTGACAATTAGTGGGATAAAATTCATACTTGACGAGTTGATTCATGCTCTGTTATTTTCAAAATCAAGAAAAAAAGGGAAAATACTAACCACGTAGGTACTTCCGTATGGTACTTCTTTAATTATTTTCTGAAACGAGCGTCCCATTAACTAGTACACTATTATATAATACTAGAAAACTTAAACAGATCTCTTGCACATATATATTGCCAGTAATATTAATTAAATTAATCTAACCTGGAAAAAGAATACCAAAAGAAAACTATTTGATTTGACTGACAGCTACGCTTTATTCCTCAATATCCAATGTTTATATAAGTAATCTGTTTAGCATACAGTTAAGAGAGCATGATTCATAACCACATGATTATTTGTCACACAAGTAAGTTGCCACCACATATGTTTCTTCTGTAAAATATTACTCTCTGTGTTTCATTAATTGTCACTTTAAATTTATTTTCTTCTGTTAAAATAAGTGTTATTCTACAATTTCAATGTAATTTTGTACATTAACTTCATTTTTACCCTTTTAAATAATCAACAAATTTTTATTTAATTAATCATACATTAAATAAAAATATATTTGTCTATTATATCATGTTTTAATTAATCATTTATATTGAAAGAGAAGGAGTATTACAAAATCCTTCTTGACATTTTCCATATTGTTGATTTTAAAATTATTTTCTTGCCATTATAAAAGTAAATATTGATAGTGTGAGTTTGTTTGAAAGAAAGAAGGAACAAAAGTATATTCTTTTGGAGGCGGGAAGGTCTCTCTCAACCAAGTTTTGACCAGCGGCGATGGGATGCATTTGCTTCAAGCCGATGTGGCGAAAGTCTCCACCGTCGATTACATCAAGTGTCGTCGATAGTCAAGACGATGACGACGGAGACGACGGAAGATACCCGATGATATTCAGGGAGTTCAGCTTCGAGCAGCTGAGAATCGCCACCGACGGTTTCTCGGCCGGAAACATAGTGTCGGAGCACAACGAGTATGTACCAAACATAGTGTACAAGGGCAAACTCGGCGATGGTCGTCGCATCGCCGTCAAACGGTTTCAAAGACTTTCGTGGCCTGATCCCTTTGAATTCGTTGTTCGTCTTCTAAATCTGTTCATAATAAATATCTCTATGGTTTTTGATGAACTAAAGATTGGATCTTTCTTGTTGGGTGGAAAAACAGAAGGAAGCAGAAGCTGTTGGGAGATTGAGGAGTGAGCATATGGCTAATCTGATCGGTTATTGTTCTGATGACAGCGAGAGACTTCTTGTTGCTCAGTACATGCCTAATTCAACTTTGTCTAAGCACCTCTTTCACTGTACCTTCTCTTTCTTGAGGATCATGTTTTTAACTTGCCACACACGAAATATGATGGTAAGCCTAATAAAATGCTTGTTTCAGGGGAGAAACGACCCATGAAATGGCAAACACGCTTAAAAGTTGCCCTTCATACCGCAAAAGCCTTGCAGCATTGTAGTGACAAAGGCATCAACTTATACCATCATCTTAATCCCTATAAGATTCTCTTTAATAAGGTATACCTTCCTTCTTCATGCTTTCTTTCTTGCTATGAGAAAACAAAACTTCTTTTTTTTTTAATGAAAATGATTTGACTGATGATGAGACAGGTGGGCAATCCTAAACTTTCTTGCTTTGGTCTCATGATGAATAGCCACGAAGGGAAGAGTCATAATACCAACTTAGCATTTGCTCCTCCCGAATATTTGAACCTAGGTACATTAAACAACCTTTTTGATGTGTCTTTTGTCAATTAGTAAACAGCTTCAATATCATGTCTTTCAGGTGCTTTGGTACCGGAGAGCGTCACATATAGCTTTGGGACCTTGTTATTGGATCTTATGAGCGGCAGACGTATTCCTCCAAACCATGTAATAACACAAAAAGTGGCAGATTACTCGTTTGCATTTTGTAACATTTTACTCTGCTTTTGAATGCAAGTTACTACTATGTGTGCAGGCGCTTGATTTGCTCCAAAGCAAAAACTATGTGGGGCTAATGGATGCAGCTCTGGATGGTCAGGTCTCTGATGAAGACAGGACAGAACTAATACACATAGCCTCTCGATGTTTGAAGACAGAACCCAATGAGAGGCCAAGTATCAAGTTTCTTGTGTCGACACTTTCTAGACTTCAGAGACGAGCTGAGACAAGGCCAATCAGTGTCAAAAAACTCATGCCTGTTAGTGTCAACTCTCTCCCTGTTTAGTCAGAGTTAACCAATGTGACTAAGTAACTCAATATATATTTAATTGACAGTCTCCTTCAAACAATAAGCCTGGAAAGACTAAAACTGCAACAGAGCCACGAAAGTTGACTCCATTTGGTGATGCGTGTTTGAGAGCAGATCTAAGTACCATACACGAACTACTTGAGAAACTCGGTTACGGAGCAGATGATGAGGCCGTAAAAGAGGTATTTGTTCAGTGATTCCTTATATAACCCAAAGAAATGATCCTTCGCTGATTCTCTCATGAATATACTTTTATGTCAGTTTTCATTCCAAATGTGGACGGGAGAAATGCAAGAGAATATGGACCACAAGAATCATGGAGATGCCGCTTTTCGTGCTAAAGATTATGATACCGGCATTGAATTCTACACTGAGGTCAAATAAAAATAAAAATCTGATACATCCTCCTTCAGTCTATCTTATTAGAACACTATTAAAGACCTAATCTTAATATATATAAGTGAATCATGAGAAAACATAAACACACCATAACTGAAATTGATTCATCATCTGCAGTTCATGTCTGGAGCTCCTAAGGTTTCACCAACAGTTTTGGCAAGACGGTGTCTATGTTACCTAATGACTGAAATGTTCAGTGAAGCTTTAAGAGACGCAATGCAAGCGCAAGTAGCTTCACCCGAGTGGCCAATCCCTCTTTACTTACAAGCGGCTTGTCTTTTCAAGCTCGACATGGAAGCTGAAGCTAAAGAAGCACTTAGACATGGTTCTGCTCTTGAGTCTTATTAGTGTTTGTGGAAAAGATAATATTATACGTATATTCAGTTTCGTCATTTGTTGTCTTCTCTGTATTACGTTTTTTTTCTGAAAATTTTGAAAAACAAAAATTAAGAAAAAAAACCAATTAATGAATTACAAGAGAACGAAATTGTTTAGCCTCAATAGTTGATTTTTCTCAGTTAATTAATATGATTTAATTACCATATAATACAATAAAACATTATTTAATCAACACAAATGGACATTTTTTATTCAGTAATATTTGATTAGTGGAAACTAGATCAATGTATGTTAAAATCAGATTTTGGAAATTCATGTATTAAATTTAAATTTTGTATTGATTAATATGTGTTTTTACATAAATGATTTTTTTATGTATTAATTGGGATTGTTGGTTATGTTAGATATATGAATTGACCGATTTCATGTTTTTTATTAACCATAACTTAACGTTTGATTAATGGAATAGGCCACTGTTTAAAATCAAATTTTAAAAGTTCATATAGGAAAACTGTTAAAGAATAAAGAAGGTTGTAACTCTCATAGTATTATTAATCACGTGGTTACATATATATATATACATACAAGAGAATAAAGCATATTCCTTAGGAGATAAGGATTGCTACAAATAAAGGGGATGATTATCCTAATCCTATAATGATTAGGATATCTACAACATATGGATAAATACAAGGGAGGATAATGA